CCTACCCCAAATGTGTCTCTCCTTTCATCTCTGTTGCCATGGCGACGGCAGAGCTGCGATGAATCGAATGAATTGGTTTGGATTTTTTTTCTTCTCTCTCCCTGAGCCGACCCCCCTGCCTGCCCCCTCGCCCCCTCAGGACCAGGATGTCTGAGAGGAAAAGCCCGATTCCGCGTCACAGAGAGGGTTTCTATTTTTACAACATGTTCGTCCTTCACCTGTGACCCTCTGCTTACTGAACAAAAGGTGTGGTTTATTATGATCTACACTGTGATGGAGCCAGCTTCATCATCATGCGGCTACCATGACAAACATCAATCCACTGCTGAAAATAGACCCCACAATAAGGAATATCAAGATACCAGGATTTTAACTTTGATGTGATTCTGGTAAAATGTATAGATTATAAATATCTGTTTTGATACCATGACAACAAAATAGAAGCCCTAGACACCCAATATTGTCTTCATTTAAAAAAAAGTTGGAAAAATTTTAGTACTGGAATTCATCGGAGTTGGCAGGAAGATTTAACTTAAAATCATGTGCATAGAAAAGATCATGAATGCTGTGTCCAAAAAGACCAAAAAGAAGCGTATCAGTGGTCAATAGTCTCAGCAGATGTCTGATCTTTGGTGAGTCTGAATCTTATGTCAAGGTTTCTGTCTGTTAATAGATGTTTTTTTGCCTCATGGTGGTTTAATGTTGGCTTTCTGTGAATAATAAAACAAACAGTATGCTCTACAACATCTGCTTTGTATTAGTGCCGAGGACAAAAAAAATCTGATGGAGTTATAGAAATCAAGAAAATAAAGGGACCTAGAATTAGGCCCTGAGGTACACCAAATCTGTAACTTTTTAGTTTTTGACAATAAGGTTGTCAAAATGTTGTGCTTTTAGAAAAGCACGTTTTAAAATGATTTTATCTTTGTTATGTAACGATCAATAGGGTAATATTGCTGAAGCTTTTGAACAAAGTACAGAACTATTTTATTAAATACTATCCCAAAAAAACGAAACCTCAGAGCTATGTGCAGCTTTTTCACGACAAATTAAGCAAACTCATCAGTTCAGTTTACCAGTAAGCTCTACTACTGTCGTGGATTTCTTACAAAAAAATCAATCTGTCAGTACCACTGATGTTCTCCCCTCCTCCCCACGTCTCCATGTCTCAGGAGCTGCTCTCTGTTCTCTCCAAATACCAGCACTCAGTAATTAAACCGGAGCGGCGGCTCGACATTTTAAAAGGCCAGCAGAGGAGAGAGTGGGCTTTATGAGGGTGAATCACCCACCTTTACTGAGAGATGTTTTATTATAAACCCCCCCTCACAGGCAGAGGGAGGTTTGTCTGCAGTAGGCCCTGAAAGAAAGATGGAGGCATGTGGTTGAAAGATGAGGATGTTTGCTGTGTGATGGTTTTACAGTAAGAGGAGGCGTCACGCTGATGAGAAAACCGATAATGTTATACTGAAAAAAGAGAGCAACAAGCACATTAACCCCAACAGTGAAGTTTTGTTTGGCCCTGAGTTTAATAAGCAAACAAACTGTACTGTATAAAGCATGGACGTACTCTGAGTGACATCACCAATTGGTTTCTGAAGAAGACTTTTGAAGCTTGTCCATTGTGGATGCCATACTTGAAAAGCTGGCCCATACAAACTTAAGGTTAACCTAGAAAGAGGTGGAGCAGAGGAGGGGCTTAAGCCTCTTATCTTAGCTCTTAGCTTAACTCTTATCCTTCATAAAAATCAAAACGGATGAGTTATACAAAAATTGACCCCCCACAGTGTGTGCCGATCAAGATATGAGCCTATAGACCTATTTGATTTTTTTGAACCAGGCTGTAAACATGTTAATCTCTGCTGTAAAAACAGGCTTTTTTTAAATGGGTGTGTATGTGACTTCCTGTGCTTCTGCAGCCAGCCTCTAGTGGGCACTCCAGGAACTGCAGGATTTTACACTTCATTTTTTAAACATTGGAGGTTGCCGCTCATCCAATATCCAATGACTGAATGTGTTTAGGTAGTTATGAGGAAATAAGGGCAGAAGACATCCAGCGGCTCTGTGTATTTCCTGGAAAAGCTCCTTACTAAGAGCTGGTAGTGAATAAAAATCAGATGTAATCCCTGCAGTTTGATAGTTTGTTATTTTACTGAACATCAAGGGAAAACTAAAACTCTGATCTCTCTGATGTAAAGTGAGGATGAATTATTAAAGCTTTCTCTCCACTCCCCGGCTGACGTGAGCCCCGCTCTGAGCTGATTTCCTGTTGTTCAGGTGATGCGATGGTATCAGCTGTTGTTTCATTAAATGTGTCGGCAGGAGAGTCGACTCCTCGCCGAGCGTCAGCGCTCTGACAGGATGAAGGTGACAACATGAAATCTGTACCCTGATGTGGAGGAGATAAAAAGAGAAACATCAGAGGACGAGACGGACGAGTACAAAATCTCCTGATCTCGTCCTGATCGTAACATGACGAGCTTTTTCAAAAACATTCTCATTGTTTATTTTTACATATTTATTAACTTCACAAACTTTGACCTTTCAGCAACGGAAAAGGCAGAGCGCTTGGAAAGATAAATGTTTGGTGTTGCGCTTTCTGCTCCAAACGCTCTCTCCTCATTGAAAAGGTTTTTTTTAAAAGATGCCGGCGCTCAGAAAAAAAAGCGCCAGGTGGACACGGGGTCTTACTTCTCACACTGGCAGTAAAGCTGAGTTTACATCATGACGGTTACGTTTTGCTGTGATTGGTGTTTTTTTGTGGGTCATGATATCAGCGTCAGGATCCGAGTGTTTCTAATATCAAAAACAGAAAACATAGAGTTAATGTCAGCTCCCGAGTACATCGACATGTAATCCAACACATCGTGACCCACTTCTCTAATCTGACAAAGTGGAAACAGCGAGGTGCTGCAGCGAGGCATGCTGGGAAATTTCACTACAAAGTCACCACGAGGATGTTTGGACAAAAAGCTCCTTCTGTGTGTGTGCAGAGGAAAGATGGCCGACAGCAGAAACATGACACACACCCGTCTGTTCTCTTTTGTTTTCTCTTTATGGCTCTGACCTCGACCCCAAACAACTTAAATATTTTTGTGTCGACATAAACTCAGACTCACACACGGCATCCAGCGAGCGTTTTTCTGTTGAGACTCTGTAAAGATGTTCAAACAATGAGAATCCCTGTTAAATACTTTGAGTTGACAGTCTGGGACATTTCTAAAGGTTCCAGTAAATACACCGAGCCGCTCAGAGGCTCTGGGTAATGCATCAGATCACTTTATTTACAACATAATGAAATCACTTCTATAAGCCTGTTGGGTCATTCAAGACTTCCTGCTGATGTTTCAAATTAAAAGCCCCGCAGGAAGTGATGGGATTATTTCCCCCCCCCTCCCCTCCGCGAGCCACAGGAAGTCTTTTAATTTGAAAACAGTTTGATAGTTTTCTACTCTTATGAGTCATTACAATAATTCATAATCCTGCTGCCGACTCTTTGACGCACCAGGAAGTAAACAACATATTTTCTGTTTGTCACTGTCAGTGAACGCATCGTGTTGTGTTTAATTGCGTCAGTGAGGGATAAATACAGAAAATATTCACGTCATTAAGAATCCACAAAGTTGACTTCTATTTTTATTCTGTGCACGTTTTTCTATATTTCACTCTGTGACGCATTTCCTGTTGTTTTATGTATTCGTGGATTTTAACTGTAAATAAGAAGAGGAGGAGGAGGAAGAGGATGGGAATAGTATAAGAAAGAGGAGGAAGAATACGACCAGGTGAAGGAGTAGGATGAGGTGAAGGAGGAGAGTGTTGGGGAGGAGGATGGGGAGAAAAGAGGAGGACAAGGAGGAAGAACTGGCACAGCAGAAGGAGAGGTTGGGAAGGATGAGGAAGCGAAAAGGAGGACAAGGAGGAAGAATAAAAAAAGGAGGAGAGCAGAGAGGAGGAAGAGGAAGACGAGGATGACCAGGAGAAGGATGAGGAGGTGGGTTAGGACAAAGAGGAAAAGGAGGAAAGAATGAGAGAAGGAGTCAGACGGAGGGGGAGGAAGAGGACACGAGAAATAAAGAAGGGAAAGGAGAAAAGGGGAGAAGGAAAGGAGAAGAGGAGGACGAGGAGGACCGGAGGAGTAAAAGTGATGAGGAGAATAGGATGAGGGGGAGGAGGAAAAGGTTTGTTGGGAAAATAAATTGGGCAGAAAAGGAGGAGGAAAATGAGAAATAAGGGTAGAAGGAGAAGAAAAATTAAAAGGAGGAAAATGAGGAGAAGGAGGATGAGGAGGTGGGATAGGACAAAGAGGAAAAGGAGGAACAGAAGATGGAGGAAAGAATGAGAGAAGGAGTCGGACGGAGGGGGAGGAAGAGGACACAAGAAATAAAGGAGCAGCATAAGGAGAAAAGGGAGAAGGAATGGAGAAGAGGAGGACTGGAGGAGTAAAAGTGATGAGGAGAATAGGATGAGGGGAGGAGGAAAAGGAGAAATAAGGGTAAAAGGAGAAGAAGGAAGAAGAAAAGGATGGAGCGAAGAGAATGAGGAGGTGACGGAGGATGAGGAGTGATGTATTTATACGGGGTGTTAATCAGGATTGATGGATTTGACCTTTGAGGCGGCGCGGCCTATTTAAAGGATGTGAATGATTCATGAGTCAAACTGCAGGAGAATAAACGACATCATTTATAATAAATCTGTAAATATCTCCGAGTGTTTCTCACTCCAACTTTTCTTCACTTTGTTTTTTTGTTCAGAACTACAAACTGGATTTTTCACTTTGACACTTGTTGGTTAATCGTCTTCATTTAATCTCAAGCTGTTTTCAGACTGTCGTGTCAAGAAGCGATATTCACACCCTTGTGACATTTTGCCTTCATTGTCTTAGAGGCGTCATGGAGAGACGAAGTGACCCCCCCCCCCTCTCTGTAGGCCTACCATTCTCCCGATAAAAATTACCTGTTGTTATTTTGTGTGTTATCAGAGTTCTGTCTGTCCGTATGTTTCAGAGTGTGACGGCGTTCCAGGCGTCGGTGAACGAGGACGATCTGATCGTGGTGACCCTGGAGCGCTCCGACCTGCAGGAGAATGTGACGGTGTACGCGGCTCAGATCTCTGGTGAACCTCGACCCGTTCTGATCCAGTTCGTGAATGCCAGCGAGGCGGTCGTGTTCAACGCCTCGCTTCACGGTCTGTGCTACACGGTGGGCCTGCTGGTTAAACGGGGTCAGGCCTGGTCCACACCCGTCAAGACCCTCTCAGTGCTCACCAGTAAGACTCTTTCATTCTTCTTTAATGTCATGTAGGCATTTTTTAGACTCTCAACTTTCCCAACGTGTCCATGCTGTGTCCTCATTGTGTGCCCTCATTATGTGTTCTTGCTGTGTGTCCTTAATGTGTGTCCTCATTGTGTTTCCTTAATGTGTGTCCTCATTGTGTGTCCTTGCTGTGGGTCCTCATTGTGGGTCCTCATTGTGTGCCCTTGCTGTGTGCCCTCATTGTGTGTTCTTACTGTGTGTCCTTAATGTGTGTCCTCGCTGTGGGTCCTCATTGTGGGTCCTTGCTGTGGGTCCTCATTGTGGGTCCTCATTGTGGGTCCTTGCTGTGGGTCCTTGCTGTGTGTCCTTAATGTGTGTCCTTGCTGTGGGTCCTCGCTTTGTGTCCTCATTGTGGGCCCTCATTGTGTGTCCTTAATGTGTGTCCTCATTGTGGGTCCTTAATGTGTGTCCTCATTGTGTGTCCTTAATGTGTGTCCTCATTGTGTTTCCTTGCTGTGTGTCCTCATTGTGTTTCCTTGCTGTGTGTCCTCATTGCGTGTCCTCATTGTGGGCCCTCATTTTGTGTCCTCATTTTGTGTCCTTGCTGTGTGTCCTCAGTGTGTGTCCTTAATGTGTGTCCTCGCTGTTTGTCCTTAATGTGTGTCCTCATTGTGTGTCCTCATTGTGTGTCCTTACTGTGGGTCCTCATTGTGTGTCTTCATTGTGTGTCCTCATTATGTGTTCTTGCTATGTGTCCTTGCTGTGTGCCCTCATTGTGTGTTTTTGCTGTGTGTCCTCAGAACCCCTCCCTGTCCGTAGCGCTCACATCGCGGACTTTAAAGATTCTCCAGAGACCGGCGTAGTGTTTCAGATTGACCCTCCGCCCGGGAACGTTTTCAGCAGAGTGAACATCAGCTTCACCGAAGGACACGAGCGACGATACATGCTCTATAAAGGTAACGGAATATATACTCTACAGAAACAGATCAAAACATGTTTCAAACAGGTTCTGATAGTTAATTTAAATATAATGTGCGTGTGTGCGTGTGTGTGTGTGTGTGTAGACTTCTACAGGGGGAAGACGGTGTTCAAACACTGGTTACCCGGTGTTTGTTACAGAAACGTCACCTTCCAGCTGATCTCTGAGGTCACCGTGTACCAGACCGCCCTGATCACACACAGTGACATCACACACACACCTGTGCACCACAGGACAGGTGAGACACACACACACACACACACACACACACACACACACACACACACACACACACACACACACAGTGACATCACACTGTTATGTATTCTGTGAGGTTAAAGAGCTGCTCTGTGTCTCTCTTCGTCCCCCGCAGTGCCATACCCCCCCCTCAACATTTCCCGTAAGATTGTCCACCTGAGCCAGAGGGCGGGGCCAAGTGCGGCATCCAGCGTAGTCCCTCCCGAGGGCGGAGAGGAGAGCCGGCGAGCGTCCCGTATAGCCCGCGATGTGCCCCTGCTGGAGGAGCAGCAGGAGGTGGAGAACACGTCTGAGGAGGTGGCGACCGCGACCACTCCGGTGCCATTTAACGCCACACACAACCTGACAGGAAGTGACCCGACCACGGAGGCAGAGACGCAGAGCTACTGGCCTGACCCTTCCGAACTGTCTCCCGCCGACAGAGACGACGAGTTTGTGAACGCCGTCGTGCCCGAATATGAGGACTCCAACGAGCCCGGGTCTGCCATGGGCCTCGCCCCAGAGACCGCCGTCCTGCCCACTAAATTGCCCCCCATCCTGCTGGAACTCCGCTGGCTGCCCCCCCGCGCCCCCACCAGCTACGACGGCTTCAACATCTACATCTTCAGAGACGGTAACACGGATATTAAATATCACGCTCGAGGTCGAGATGCCGCTGCGGCGTCCACCCTGAATTTTAATTTAAGTCTGATCTGAAGTTTTCAGTTTTTTTTTGTTTCTGTCTCCATCTGTTTCCAGGTAACTCCACAGAGACCGCCACCGTGGACGAAAACACTCACGAGTTCTTCACTGAGTTGACGGAGCCGGGAACGTACCGAGTCCAAGTCACCACGCTCAGCTTGTCCGGCGAGTGTGAGGCGAGAGAGAGCACGGCCGACACGGGCTTCACCTTCTACCTCAGTACGTTTAAAAAGATAAAACCTGTTTCTGAACCCGGTTTTTCATCTCATAGTAAAAACTCTCCATGACTCGTCTCGTCTCAGGTCCGGGTGGCGAGCTGTTGGAGGAGCTGCGAGAGCGTCCTCAGGCGGTCAGCGTCAGACTGCTCGACTCCAGCACCGCCGGCGTCTCCTGGGCTCAGTCCTCGGAGAACCACAACGGCAGCGTGGTGTCGGTCGTTTCTACCACCTGTCTGAGACCGAGTCTGAGCCAGAGGATGGAGAACACCTACTGTGGCGAGGTAACGCACCGCCGCCAGCTGAGGCCGGCTACTCACTAGAATATTGTAGGCCCTCAAATGATGGGGGAGGCGTGGCCTAATTTGAGGCTTGTTGTGTGGACTCAATACTAGTTAGTTTAATCGTTTATTTGAATCACAAAAACAAACATGAGTCTCAGAAGAGAGGAGATGTTTTGTACCAAGTTTAGCTAGCTAGCTAATTTCCATCTGTTGTCCCTGGGCAGACGATGGCAACAGCAAAATGCAAATCCAATACGATTATTTTATTTAGTTTTTTTGATGTCAGAACTTTGTCTCTGGGTGAGATAATGAGTAGTTGCTTAGTTGATGAAATTTGTTTTATATTTCTATTTTTATTTTTTTCCTGTAGCACTTTGAGATTTGAGAAGTGCGTTACAAATTAAATGTATTATTATTATTACTATTATTATTATTAATAAACATAAAATCACTCAGCGTCATCGAGTCTGTGATTCATAAATCAAACATCTGACATCAACAAGTTTTTTTACTGAACGAGTCTGAGCAGAAGTTTAGAGATCATTCAGAAATGAAAGTGTGAGCTGACTCATCTTTTACTTACTGAGCTGTGAAAATGGAAAACGTGGTGAGAAAAAGACTTTCCATTTACAAATTGGAATCATTCTTCTCACTGTGAAAACAGTTAAATCAGTCACACACAATGTTTAAAGGTGACATATCCTCCTCCTCTTCTTCAGTGTAAATAAGTCTCAGAGCTCCTCAAAACATGTGTGTGAAGTTTCTTGTTCTAAATCCACTCTGATCCTGTATTTGATCATGTCTATAAACCCCTCTATTTCAGCCCTGCTCAGAACAGGCTGTTTCTGTGTCTGTACCTTTAAATATGTAAATGAGCTGTGTCTGACCACGCCCCCTCTCTGGAAGGGCTTGGGTGCCTCTGTCTTTCTCGCTCCATGTCCTGTTGTTTACGGTGAGAAGGCAGACTCAGAGGGCAGAACAAACACCTAGCTGTGGGAGTGTCACCCACCTGGGGGAGGGGCTACTGCCCTTTGTGATGTCATGAAGGGAAAATCTCCAAACGGCCTGTTTGAGCACACATTTTCTGAAAAGTGGAGCAGGCAGAAGACGGAGAGGATGGACTTTTCTCATCATTGGGGGGTTATCACCTTTAAATATATATATTTTTTTTCTTTAAAGGAAAACTCGACAAGTGACATCATCACTAACCTGACCCCCGGGGCTCAGTACAGGGTGGTCGTCTATCACACCAACGGGCCGCTGATCAGTCCTCCGTCAGAGCCCGTCATCATCGACATCGGTGAGAAACACGACGCATGAATCACGACGTCTGCAGTTTGTCTTTAAAGTCAAATCGTTTAATTCACCGTGTGTGTGTGTGTGTGTGTGTGTGTGTCAGAGCCCACTGGTGTGCGTGAGCTCGCCGTGTATCCTCTCAGCCCGACGGCGGTCATCCTCACCTGGCAGCGTCCGTATCACGTGGCGTTCAGGAAGTACGTCCTGCAAACGTACTTCTTCAACCCCGTCACCCTCACCTCAGAGTGGACCACCTACTACGAGATCGCCGCCACCGCCTCCGTCATTGCCTCTGTGGTAACACACACACACACACACACACACACACACACACACACACACACACACACACACACACATCAAAAGACATCGTGTACATTTAACAGTGAGAATTAAAAATATGTTATCTGTCACTCAGCTCTTCTTGTTTTGTCCTCAGAGGGTGACCGACCTGCTGCCCGCCTGGTACTATAATTTCCATGTTTCCATGGTAACGTGGGGCGACCCGCCGCTCACTTGCTGCGACAGCTCCACGGTCAGCTTCATCACAGGTACAGACTCACCTGCTCGCTGTGACCACATGTCCCTTACTCTCCAGAGAAAGAAGTCCGATGTGACCTAAAGTCAAATCTTTGTCGTCCGCAGCTCCCGAAGCGCCTCACATCTCCTCTGTGGATTACTCGCACGGCGTCCTCTACGTTCGCTGGGCGTACAGCGAGCTCTTCATCGACCTCTCTCACTCCAGGATGCTGCACTGGCAGGTGGTCGCCGTGGGAAAGAAAGGACCCGAGAGGAGCTACTCTGTCGACGTGAGTCTTCAGCCTCGTTCATCGTCGTGTTTTTCTCGGCTCAGATCGTGCACCAGCAGCTCGTTTATTTCGGGGTCGGGATGGACTGCGATTGATTCTCTCCTCTGGGTCCATCCGAGCGTCCAATTATGAGCAGAGAAACGAGCAGCTCGCCTTCGCCTCCATCGGGCCGATTATGATCCCAGCAGAGGCAGACCTGACTCACATAATGAACTGTTAGGGAGCCTGGGGGGGGGGGGGGTCCTGGTTTTCTGTCGTATTACTCTATCTTAGTGTTACATCCTTAAAGACTGGATTTCAGCGGCGCCGTTAGTCTAGCGCCCAACATCCAGAGGTTATAGTCTTCGAGAGCAGGCCGCCCGGGTTCAAATCCGACCTGTGGCTCCTTTCTCACATGTCAGAGGGTCACTTCATGAAGAACTGGTGAAGCATGAGTTTGTTCTGGTCCGTTCTGTGGTCGCCTGAGGTTATGTAAGATTAAAACAGTAAAAGAAAAAGAGGAACAAATTAAAACAGTAAATTCAGATCAAATCGATCTTTTGGGAAATTAGATTTTTACAGGACACATCAGGAGAGACGATGTAATATCAGAGCGATAAACCCAGCTCCTCATTTACCTCTTTACAACACTCAGTTTTTATTTCACCCCTGTTTGTTTATTGAATTAGATTAAGTATTTAAAACCTGTGTGTGTGTGTGTGTGTGTGTGTGTGTGTGTGTGTGTGTGTGTGTGTGTGTGTGTGTGTGTGTGTGTGTGTGTGTGTGTGTGTGTGTGTGTGTGTGTGTGTGTGTGTGTGTGTGTGTGTGTGTGTGTGTGTGTGTTCAGGTGACTCGTAATGTGATGCGTGCGAGTCTCCCGCTGCCTCCAGGTGACATCTACAACCTGACGGTGACGGCGTGCACCGAGCGCAGCAGGAACACCTCCATGCCCAACATCATCAAACTGGGTCAGTACACACACACAAAACATCTGCCAAACAGCTGCTCATATTCAGGTCAGAGGCATCAGCAGGAATCATTGAAAAGCCCTGATGACATCATCGTGACATCATCACAACATACAGAGCGATGCTGGAATGGAATTCATTCCACAATAATATGAAACAACAAAGAACTTCAGCAATGTTTCCACAAGAAGGATTAACTCAAAGTGATGCGGTCGGTCTGTTAGGACACGCCGTTGTCACGGTGACGCTGCAGGTTGTGTTTCTGAGCAGGTAGACGTCTGGTTGTTTTCTCTCTATGGAGAGGAGCGATCCCTCCCACTCACAGCCACAAACAGCTGCTGTGTTTCTGCCTGAAAGTGAATATGAAACTTCATCTTTTCTACTTCCTCTTCTCGGTGCCGCTCTGCTTCACGCCTGCAGGTTTTAATCTTCACACAAACTAACTGTTCAGTTGTTGTGTGTCATGTCACAGAGCCGGCTCCTCCTCGCTCTCTATTTGCTGTGAACGCCACACACTCGTCGGTGACTCTGCTGTGGACCGAGGAGGGCGTGGTGGATTACTACCAGGTCATCTGCAGACCCAACAAACCCAGCAAGGAGCTTAAGGTGAGACTTAAACTTTAGACGTTAACTCTGGTCAAACTGTGTGAGTGCTTTTTGAAGTGAGAGATTCCATCTGATTAAAGACAGTAAAGGTTTTCCTTTGTGTTTAAACGAGACGTTTGAAGGGCTTCAGACGGTGACAGAGTCGTCTTTTATTCTTACAGCAGCCCTCCGTGCAGCACAGATCTTTATATATCTGACTAAACGATAAAATTCTGAATGTTTTTAACACGAGTTGAAAGGAAACTTTGCTTCAGAAAGAGGAAGTGTCGCAGTGAATTTTATCTAACTTTGTCGTCCAGGAGTGATGGTTTTTGCGAGCTGAGTTTCAGATCATCTTTGCGATTTATACGTTTCTCACTTCTGCCTTGAATAAAAACCATCACTGTGAAGCTCTTATGTAGAAGAACATTCAAACCAAACATCAGAACTTTGTGGTTTACTTCTTGAAGCAATTTTTTATACAAAAACCAATAAATACAGAAAAGTGTAATGCCCTTTATTTCTCAATTTAATTACTAAACGTAAGGTTGTCAACATGTTTGATATTTTAAAGTACCCCGTGTTTTAAAACAACACAATCTCTCTTATTTTAAAGTTTGATAGTATCACATCTTGAAAAATCTTCAGATCTTAAGTCAGATTTTTCACCAAAAGCTCCTCCCACGGTTTCCTGTCTCTCTTCAGCTGCCCTGTCCAAAGAAGGCAAAAATCGACTAAAAATATAACTTTAAAGATAAGAAACTCAAACACAACTTTTACTTCTCTAGAAAAAAAAAGTATTGAGGGAAGTGAAACAACAAGTATTCAATTTGAATGTTCAATTCTTGGATACTTTTCAATACCATGTTTTTGAAAATAATTTGGTATAAAAAGTAAAAGCACTTTAGATCTTCAGTCATATGTTGAACCAAAAGAGAGACAGCACTGTCTAAATTGTACAAATACTTTGGCTATGTTTTGTTACTGAAATGTTTGCACGATTTAGACAACGTGCAAGAGTTTGCGACAACCCTCTGACAGACACGACCACTGACTCCTGTTGTGTTTTTGCTCTTCTCCTTACTTGTTAATTTACTTATATTGACGTCTCTTTCAGGCCCGGGAGCCCCAGACATCCACTTCTCACGTGCTGACGGTATCGGGTTTGATTCCCTCGTCCGCGTACAACTGCACCGTCACCAGCTTCAGCTACAGCACACCCAGCAAACCTGCACACATCACCATCAGAACCGTCGGTAGGTGGCGCTGTTCAGTCCCCTGAAGCTGTACAAACATTACAGTGGCTGAGTTTTCACCACATAACTGCACAAACTTCTGGTTTAACTATTTATTCACTCTTCACTATACCGCAAAACTTCAAATGCAAGCCCATACCAATTTCAGGCCCAGTTCCTTTTACCAGCCTGGTGTCGCTGCACGTTTTGTCCCAAATAAAGGCAGTAGAAAAATTAGAAACTATGAACCTTGCTGTGAAAAAAGCTGTGTTGTATATATTTTAAAATGTGTGTTTCAGCTAAAGAGATGAACCCGAGCGTCGCAGCCATCTCGGCTTTGGCCATCCTCAGCATCCTCCTCATCAGCCTGCTCGTCCTGTTTCTGCTTGTCCTTCGCAAGAAACACCTGCAGATGACCAGGTACGGAAACCTCAAACACACCTGAAACACGGGCGGTCAAAGCAGGAGGGAACTACTGAAGTTTTGTCAACTGTTGAACACTGAAACTCTTTTCCTATGCTACATGCTAACATTAGTTTTAAGATTAGCAGAAGTGGTTTGTGTTTCAGCTAACACCCTCAGAACTCCCCTCAAGACTTCATGTTGTATATTATTCTTAGAAACAGAAACACTCTGACTTTACAGAAACCATTTCCTCCACACAAACTAAAAAAAAAAAAATCAAAAATGTGCATTTGAATAATGAGAAACATAGTCCAGAAGGTGAGATAATACTATACTAAATTAGAAATAATGGATTCTTTGCATCATTTTTTGTGACAGGGATAGTCTCCTGCTGTGAGGTTCATGTGTTAACAGCCAGGTCAGGAGACTCTCCGGAGCAGTCCTCCTGAAATGATCTAGACATTTTCATGAGTGCAGATGTGAAAACAGTTTAAGAGAGTTAAAGTTTTACATTTAAATAAAGGAAAATGTTCACTGTTGTTCTGCAGAGATGAGGTGCTTTGTTTGGTGTTTCTTAACATTTTTTTGGTGGAAAAATGGTTTGACATGTAGAGTTAGCCTTAAAGGAACTCATACTGTTAACCATAAAGCATTTAGTTCACATTCAGTTTTCAGTTTTGGTGTTTTGGTTATTTTTCCTCTCGTACATCACCGCTCACTTCTCCTTTTTTCTGATTGGTCATCAAATATTTTACTTCCTCAAAGTGAACAGTTTAAAAAGCTTTCATCACTATTTTCCACATGCATGTGTGTGATGTTTTTTTGTGTGTTTTGTGTTGCAGAGAGTGTGGCGCGGAGACTTTTGTGAATTTCGCCTCATTTGAGAGAGACGGGAAGCTTCCTTATAACTGGTACGATCCTCACACGTTTGTTTTTCATCCTCAAATCTCAATAAAATGTTTAAACACCTTCCGTAAATCTCTTCAAAATTATAGGAGTGCTCTGCATTCCTGAAACCCGAGTGATGGTTTTTAGCAGATTTGGAGCTTGTCTCTGTAATCACACATCCCCAGTTTGGATGTCGAAGCCTGCCGCCGCTAACACCCTGAAAGACCCAATCAGGGGCAGATTATCGGCCCGGACAGGGATTTGAAGCGGCAGATTAGGGATTTGAACGTGTAGCTACAGATTTTAGCTCGTCTGTGGCGCTTTAAGCACCGTGAGGCGATATTGAGGATGATGAAGTCAGCACCCCTGCCTGCTTTGTTTGGAGCAGCTGAACCAGTGTTTTTGATGATATAAACTCATGATCTCCCTTAATCTCAGATTAAAGGTACCAAATGTTTGTTTTAGAATAAAGTTAAATTCTACAAAACAAGAAAAGACATCTCACAGTCGTTTGCTCTGTAAAATTAGAGAGGCTTAAGTGTCTCTGATATCCTGGCTGATGGATCACTTTCAGTCTGAAACGATTTAGAGATCTGGACATTTGAGATTAATATAACAGCTGAAAGACGGTCAGTTAAGGCAGACCTTTGGCTTCCATCTGCTGTTGTATTTGACCTTCCATCACGAAATGCACATGTTCATCCGAGTGTCTCCTTAATGTGACGGTGGAGTTGTGTTTCTGCTTTGACTGTGCATGTTAGCACTGTTTAATGTTATGAGAGGAAGGGGAGGTCCCCGCTGATGCAGATACAAGTGTAAAAAAGATCTTTGCTAAATGACAATCTCTGCACACAAAGAAGCAACTGAAAATCTCAGGAAGTGAAATAAATCTATGACTTTTGTGTCGAGCGATTAATGAGTTAATCAAACTTTATTCATAAAGCATTCTTAAACAAATAAGTCTAATTCAAAATGCCCTACAAGCGATGTACAAGAAGACTTACACACCAAAACAATGAAAAGAAAGTAAATAGAAATAAACAAGAATGAATAAAGATGAGGTTTGGTTGTTACTCATCGCTAGTGATAATAGTTAACTAGATGCTGTCAAAAATGTATTTTTAGCAGAAAGATTGTTTCATTGTTTCTGTCTTCAACATGATAAGTCTGACATGAAAGTATTTGTAAAAAAAAAATACATCTTTTCTTATTCTGCAAATCTCAAAAAACAAAAAAACAAAAGTCTGTTTAGTAATGTGGTGTACCTCAGGGCTCAATTCTGGGTCCCTGTATGTTCAGTAGTTCCATGTTTCCTCTTTTATAGTACATTTTGTTTTTCAAGATGTTCTTCCTGACTTTAATCTCTGGAGAAAAATGTGGTATATTTTATGAATTAATTTGTTGAAAAAAAAAATTCTCAACATCGTCCAAAAAGTTCTTGAGCTGGAACTGGAACTTAATTTTTTTATTTAAGCCCGAATGAGATATATATTCTTCGTACTGACACACTAAAGCTGGTGAGAAATCTAAATGAATAATCTTTTATTCAAGAAAACACCAAATTGTTTTCCAAACATACTGATTGTATAAAGGTTTGGAAGCTATGGAAAACATAAAACAGAATACGATCATTAGTTTATCCTTTTGACATATATTCATAAATATTAGACGTTTGATAAGACGTCTTTTAACAGTTCTAATGTAGAGTGTTTGGTTTGCAAACTGAACCCCTTTTAAGCTTGAAAAACTTGAACAGAGCCGATGATGAGTCCTTGAATGTATCTGCATCAGTGGGGTCCTGACCCCGAGTGAAACAATGTTAGAGATCTTCATTAAGATGGCCATCACATGGTTTGACGTCACCATCGAGTGACAAAATGTGGGGCTGTCTCTACATAATGAGGCTGAGTGTTGCATTGTGGGAGGGGCTGGGTGGACGCAGTGATGTCACAGACTCAGGCTGGAGGTTGTTAAATGAGACAGAGCGGCCTTTGACGTCCGGCAGCTAAACAGACTCCTGTTGTCCCCCAGAGAGACAACGGGACACTTTCTGAAGGGCTGCATGATGCATTAACTGTGTGTTCAGCACTAATGTGAACCTCTCGACGCTCTGTGCCTCTTTACTAATGGAGCACCATGTTCTGTCCCCAACCTACCGCCCCCTGGTGTCTGTTTTTATTTATTTTTTTATTGTGTGTGTTTTTATTTTATTTTTTATTTGAACCCCCTTCAGGCGAAGAAGCCTCTTTGCCTTCCTTACCCTACTGCCATCCTGCCTTTGGACTGACTATCTTTTGGCTTTTTATATTAATCCTTGGTAAGTAAGCACTTGAAGGCTAAAAGAATGCACTACAGGGGCATGTCATAGCAGAGCCACAGCCCACAGGATTGATCCAAGGCATTGTTTTACTTTCTATTTGAACCTAAGTGACGTCAAACAGAGCCACCAGAACTTATTGTCAACGATTCCCATGAGAAGACCAAAATAAAAATGAATCAGTGTAACTTTGGGGTTAATATTGTGGTAAAAAGGAGATAAATAAAGCCTGATAATGGGGGAAAAAGTGAAAGGCTCTCTCCTGTGCTCAAGCGTAAAGTTTTGTTGAGCTGTCCATCTACCCCGCTTCATACTTACATTCTGAAACAGGAATCTTTTATGTTTTTTATCGTCCCCATAGACAAATTCTACTCTGACCTAAGGACCACCTTCAGTCAAAACTGTTTGTTGCTCTATAGCTGTTTTAAGCCGACGTTGCTTCAGAGCTTGTGCTGAAATAAGGAATCAGTATTTCTGTCAATGGACATGATATGGTTAATCTTAAAATACTGCTGTACAAGCTGTGGAGTTATGTTTGTTAGAGTCCAGCTTTCTTTAGGGTCAGTATATCACCAATCATGGACCTAACTCAGGTCAACAATGCTCAATTTTATCACTTAACAGTACACTTATCATGTGTTTTCAATAAATAAATAGTATTTCAATTAATGTCAATAAACAACAAGGGCCCTAAACCTGAGCCTTGTGGAACACCAGAGAGAGCACTGCCCAAATTATAAAAATATGTTTGCAACATTCAGGTAAGGAAACATTGCCAATGTATTTGTCTAATTTAGACAGTATGCAGGAGTTTGCCTGCTATATCTGGTTATCAAAAACAAGTAATTTGAGCACAGTGGTTAGTACATGCGCCCCATGTATGGAGGCTGTTGCTCTCTAAGCAGACGGCCCAGGTTCGAAAACCAACCCGTGGCTTCTTTCCTGCATGTCATTCCCCACTCTCTCTTTCTCCCTGATTTCTGACACTTTCCACTGTCCTATCTCTCTGATAAAGGCAAAATAAGCCCAAAAATTGATCTTAAAAAATAAACAAACAAGTTGTCCAATTGCCCAATATTGTCAGGGATTCTTTTTTTATTGCCCTGGTATCAAACATGTTTGACTTTTACTTCAATCATATCATTCTGGTATTGTGACAACCCTATCATGATATTTTTTGTTCTTGGTCTACACATGGGATTGTTGACAAGTAAAAAAATGTTAAATGTCATAAGAACATCCAATGACAATTTTTTTGAAGTCCTGTTTAAATTTTGGGGAAACAGGAAGTCAAGAGATGACTTTTCTGACCCGTAGAACTTTGTCTGCAATTCTGTGTCTGTGGTTTTAACTTTCAGAGTCACACTGATGGGTTCTCACTCATGTGTTGTATGTAGCATGATGCTAACTGTTGACGCTTACTACAGCTTTGCTCCATGTTCCGTGTCTGCATGATGTCTGTTTTAGTGGATTTATAGTCCAGAGTTAGACTCTGTATGTAGTCCTGCTTTTAGCGTAGCTGTGTAGTCTTAGTTCTGGATGTTTTAGTGCATGTTGCTGGTGAAACACTTGCTGACTGTGTTACAGAACCCCCCCATTTCTGAAATATGCCTCTCAGCTCTGAGCTGAGAGGACATGTTGGGATTTTTGGGACTCTGTGATGCAATCGGTGTGTGAATCTTTAAAGAAACAGATCTGACTCCAATAATGCAAATATAGACGCATGAAATGTGGAAAATAAATTAATGAAAATGTTACAAAGTTGCATGTTTGATTATCAGGTGTCTGCATAGCTTCAATCACGAAGCATGATGTTGTTACTCTGATGATGTCATAAAGTTAAAATACGTAAAACTGTCACCCTGGGTTTGACCGATTGATGGGACTTCATACAAGCCTTCTATGAAATCTAAAGCTGACTGTTATGGATAAAATCATTCTATAAACTAAAACCTCATGTTAGATTTTTAACCTGAAAAGTTCACCAAAATAGAACTTAAAACTGATTAAACATCGGGTTACTCAGAAACTTTTTAATTTACAATAATATTCAAACTTACAACGAACTGCATTTTTTAAATTTTCACTGATCTCTTAGCCAACAATGTTTAACTTTAACTTAATAATTATGCTTTCTAAATATGTTGTTCCATTTTATTCAGTCGTCCTTTACTTACCTTAAAATCTTCTATTTCGTTTAAATGAGTTAAAATAGACACAATTTTAATTCATTTTTTCCGATTTAGTTTTAAATTTAAGTTAAATATAATTAAAAAATGCTCAAACATTAATATTAACGAACATTTTACAAAACTGGAAACCTTAAAGGAGCAGTATGGAACTCTGACCCCTAGTGTTTAAAATTGGTACTGCAGTCCAAATTCCATGCTCCATGCTCACTCAGGTCACCATGTGGTGGACTCTGAAGCTTCAGTGTTTATCCAGCTCTGCATGGGTCTGTAAACCTTTCTGTGTTCTAACCTCTCTCCATTTTTCAAAAGCATCTCCAATATTGATCCTAGTTTGAGCACCAAAAACATGACCTTTTAAGAACATTAAGAACAAGAATAAATCCCTCTGAATAAAGGCTTAAAAACCCTCGTTGGTCAAACCCTGATATGTGCAGATCTGGAGCGTCAGTCTAATGTCACCTGTGATTTAGTCTCACTGCAGTCACAGTTCTCATCAAGAGGAACTCTACATGTTTGTATTTTATAGGAGCAAGACAGCTTTAAAGAAACGGAAGCTTACAAGGTAACAAGACTAAACAACACCATGTGGCTCTCAGCCTGTGCTTTTATCTTTGTGTATCTGTGTGTTTGTGTGTGTGTGCTGCCATCGCACTAATAACAGCCTTCAGCCAGAAACAGAGAACATCCCAACCGTTTAATCCAGCAGATTAAAGTGAAATTGAACCATGGCCCAGTTTTTTACCACTCAGGCTGAGGAACCTCTGTGGAAATAAAACCTGCAAAGACTGCAGTCATCGGTGGAAATCAGGACGGTTTATTATCTAATTGAAAACTTCAATTATTGAGTCGTGCAAATCTGAATATTACCTGATTGTTTTATTTGTGCTGAGTGGCATCATATTTAAATGTATATGGCGTTGTTAATCAAGAAATGTCCAATGATGATGATATGTGTCATGTGAAATCTGTTATTAGTCTTCATAGTGGTATTTTCTGACACATTGGTGTATCTTTGCAGCCCCGTGCAGCTGGACGATTTCGATGCGTACTTTAAAGAAATGAGCAAAGACTCGGCCTACAAGTTCTCCCTACAGTTTGAGGTACGACCTTAATCACAAACATTTATATATACAAATAAATGTGTGCGTGTATTAATGTTTGTATGTCTGTTTGTATTTGAATGAAGAAATTAAAGTTTTTTATGTAAATATGTGTGAGTGTCAGTTAGAGTATGTATGAGTATGTTTCTTCCATTTAGGATGTATTACAAAAGGGTATATGTATGTATTTGTATTTGTATTATTTCTGTGTGTATTAATTAGTAAAGTATCTATCTATTTATTTTGTTTGTTTGAGGAAAGAATGTATTTATGAATTCATAAAAAAACATACACACATTTATTTATTTTATTGTTTATTTATACAGGAGCAGTTCAGACTTAAGTGTAATACATCGAAAAGATGTCTTACATACATTCATCTTAAAATGAAAAAAACAACATACATATCGGTCGAAAAAATAGGAAAAAACGACGTTTGAATAAATGTATTTGTTTTATTGTTTTTTGTGCTTGTATGTAAATATTAGATAATGTATTTTTCCATCCTGCATAACATATAACCCATTCATAATTATATTATTTATGTTTTTGTGTTTATAAATTAGTAAAGTATCTATTTATGTGTTTCTATGTATGGGGAAAGAATGTATGAAAGTAGAAACACAACAATGCATTCATGTTTGCTTATATGTAATTATGTATGAAGAAATGATAAAGAAAATATTTATGAATTCATCCAAAAAAAGTACACACCCATTAATTTATTTCTATACATACATAAAGTCATACATACTTACATCAGAACATTTTGTTCATACATACATAGAAAAAAAATTCAAACATACATAAAAAAGTTATACATACTGTACTTACATTGTGAAATGTAATACATATGTTCCCTATTCATACTTTCATACATACTTAGAACACTTTTATTTTCATACGGACACTCAGTATAAGTCATTACATTCATACATGAACTTTCAGGAATATACTTCTTTTATTTACTACTCATGTAAACTTTATTCATGTTCATACAGTTATTTCATACATGTTCATCTTTTCAGGAGCTGAAGAGCGTTGGCCTGGATCTTTCCCATGATGCAGCAGACCTGCCTATCAACAGGCCCAAAAACAGATACACCAACATCCTGCCCTGTGAGTCACAGACTCAGAAGTACTGAGTTGTTTGATACATGATGGTTGTTGGTGGTATTTCAGCTGGTTTTCATGTTGACTGATTTTAATCTTCATTTACATCTGGACCACAGACGACTTCAGTAGGGTGAAGTTGATCTCGATGCACAACGACGAAGGTTTAGACTACATCAACGCCAACTACATACCTGTGAGTCATTGTATCTTCACCATCATCCTCTTCATCATTTGCCTAAAGGAAGTCCTCTTGTAAATTCACATAATCAAGCAACATAAAAAAGGATGAGGAATAAATAAACATCTTTACCTTTATTGAACCACAGAAAGTAACTCTGATGCTACAGTTTCAGCACTGAAATGTAATAAAGACAACATTTAAAGGTCACATATCCTCTTCTTCAGTGTAAATAAGTCTCAGAGCTTCTCAAAACGTGTGTGAAGTTTCTTGTTCTAAATCTACTCTGATCCTGTATTTGATCATGTCTATAAACCCCTCTATTTCAGCCCTGTTCAGAACAGGCTGTTTCTGTGTCTGTACCTTTAAATATGTAAATGAGCTGTGTCTGACCACGCCCCCTCTCTGGAAGGGCTTGGGTGTACTCAGTGCTTTCTTGCTCCATGTCCTATTGTTTACGGTGAGAAGGCAGACTCAGAGGGCAGAACAAACACCTAGCTGTGGGAGTGTCACCCACCTGGGGGAGGGGCTACTGCCCTTTGTGATGTCATGAAGGGAAAATCTCCAAACGGCCTGTTTGAGCACATGTTTTCTGAAAAGTGGAGCAGTTACTTGTTTGTTTTGAGGGGTTTGTGGATCATTTATATCGTGTTAATCTGTCCGCGTTTCATTATTGGAGCTAATGTGTCTTTTCTGTCTTTTTCTTTGACCTTCAGGGTTACAAACACACTAAAGAGTACATTGCCACTCAGGGTCCACTGCCAGAAACTCGAAACGATTTCTGGAAGATGGTTCTGCAGCAGAAATCTCCGATCATCGTCATGCTCACACAGTGCAACGAACGACGCCGGGTCAGTCTCAATCTTATTCCCTTCTACACAAATACAAGTTTGAGGATTGCATCTCGGTTTGGTGCAAATGCAAAAACAATAATAATACCAATGTAGAACAGTAGCAAGTGGTCGGCGTTTCTTTCTAACATTGAGTGTGTGTTCCAGGTGAAGTGCGATCACTACTGGCCGTTCACAGACGAACCGGTGATGTACGGAGAGATCAGCGCCGAGATGCTCTCAGAGACGGAATCTCCAGAGTGGATCATCAGGAAGATCAGACTGGGATATGTGAGCACCACTTCATCTACACTTCACATAAACTGTGTAGTCATGTATTTATGTCCTTAACATCCGTCTCCCCCTGCAGGCCGATGAGTCTCAGGACATCCTCCATCTAAACTACACCTCGTGGCCCGATCACGGCGTCCCAACGGTCAACGCCATCGAGAGCATCCTGCAGTTCGTCCACATCGTCCGTCAGCAGGCCAACCGGACCAAAGACCCCATCATCGTCCACTGCAGGTCAGGATATCAACGTTACACTGCCAAACATTCAAAACACCGACTGCTAACATGCTAGCCAACTGCCAGGACTGCTGCATGGATCACATTCACTGAAGAACCCAGCAGGCATTCAACAAAGGACAAAGTTCTGGAAATATTAGCACAAAATTTTTAATTTTATATTAAAGCTGATTTTAATCAAACACTAAAAGCATTTAGATGCTTTTCTGAATGTAATGTTTTTTCCCGTTAAAAGATGCAAACACAGTCAAACCTTGGAAAACATAAATATAGATGGTTGTGCCACTTTGCTTAACAATTGGTAAATATTTGCTGCAGATTCCAGATTCTCACTCATACAGTCGGTTTTAAATGATTGTTGAATATGTTCCTCTCATTAACACCCTGAAGCAGTAAACTGATCTGTCGTGCAGAAGTCTCATCTGTTAGAAGTCTAAAGATGCTCTTGCTCGTCTCCGTCTCTTCATTTTATTTGAATCTGAGAATCTTTAACAACCCGATCAGAGACACTGAGTCCCCTCCTCACGGTTATAAACCATTAAAAAAGCTCTCAGACGGATGATGTCATGTCCATTAAACGCTTCATTTCCTCTGCGTGTGGTTGCTATCTCTTGTGTGGTTCAGCGCTGGAGTCGGCAGGACGGGGACCTTCATCGCTCTGGATCGTCTGATGCAGCACATCAGAGAGCACGAGTTCGCCGACATCCTGGGCATGGTGTCCGAGATGAGATCCCACCGTCTGTCCATGGTCCAGACCGAGGTCAGTCCTCAGCGCCTGTTTACAGACCAGAAATATAAAAGGTTAATAATAACACACGACGGGACAAGTCAAAGCCACGTTAATCCTCTCTGTCTTCCGTCTGTGCAGGAGCAGTACGTGTTCATCCATCAGTGCGTCCTGCTCATGTGGCAGAAGAAGAAGCAGCAGTCCATCACCTCTGATGTCATCTACGAGAACGCCAGCAAGACATAATGACGGCGGCTCGTTCACACGTGGGTCACAAACACAAATACAAACACACTTAGATTTATGGGACAGCGTACTCAGACTTATTAACTTGTACTAAGTGTTCTTAATTAATATACATTTAAAGGATTTTATATCCTGAAAAATTAAGCAGAAACTCCAGAATGTACCTTTAATTCCAGCCTCCTTCAAGCTCTAGCCAGGCACACCTCCTTGCTTCTGATTGGCTAAAAGGATGATGACAAATTCATCTCCATGTTACCTGCAGAAAATTAAAAAAAACACCAACAAGCTGCATGATTGTAGATATTTCTGTGTAAACTAGCTGTGATTTAATCCCTTCTCGTTGTCTTGCAGGCTGCGAACACACCGGCCTCCTGTGCTTCAGGCATCCATTCTCTGCAGAAGAAGATCCGCTTCATCATCAGTATCAAAATAAAAACAACAGCCTAACATCTCGACGACAAGAGGAAAAAAAAATCCAGTATTATGTTTGAATTAAAGCATGGGACGGGGATCTGCCTTAAAGAGCCGAACTGACGAACAAACACACCCTGAACCCTCTGAACCGGACTGATTCAACGTGTGTGTGTGGGGGGGGGGGAGTCAGGGGAGCGTTAACGAGCTCCGTCCTGTGATTGGATGTCTACACTGTGTCCGTCCCTGTTCAGATGACGTGAGGAGGCGAGTCGGTGGAGCAGAGTCAGCAGTTTTATTTACATTGTTTTTGTTTTAATCTCAGGAGTAGCTGAAAAACCAGCGAGAACGCTGGCCTCTTCCTCCACTCCGACCGTCATTCAGCATCCGTTAGCTCTAGGTTTTAGTGTAGCTAGAATGAATCACCTCTCAGCAGTGAGCAGCTGTCCTGGTGATGAAACGACCGAATTGTAGGCGGTAAATTTCAACGTTACACTGCCAAACATTCAAAACACCGACTGCTAACATGCTAGCCAACTGCCAGGACTGCTGCATGGATCACATTCACTGAAGAACCCAGCAAGCATTCAACAAAGGACAAAGTTCTGGAAATATTAGCACAAAATTTTAAATTTTATATTAAAGCTGATTTTAATCAAACACTAAAAGCATTTAGATGCTTTTCTGAATGTAATGTTTTTTTCCCGTTAAAAGATGCAAACACGGTCAAACCTTGGAAAACATAAATATAGATGGTTGTGCCACTTTGCTTAACAATTGGTAAATATTTGCTGCAGATTCCAGATTCTCAAAGTTTTTCTGATTTCACCAAATGCTGCTCGACTGGATACAGACCTTTTTATTTCGTACGACGAATCAACCGTAAACGTAAGAATGTTTGTCGGGTGTGCACAAGAACTGAACGGCACAAAGACAGCTGAAGGATCCGATGCCTTTCTGCAGGAACACGAGTGCCTCCTGCTATCGTGGGACGTGTTAGAGGCCAGTTTAGACTATAGAGACTGAAGTAGAGATGTAGTTTGTATTTGCACTGAGGAGTTGCCCGACCTGCTGACACACAAAGGAACAACTTTCTGCAGCCTCGCTCCGTGTTTGCCTGTCCTGTGAAACGCTGGCTCTTCCTCACGAAGGATCTCCATCTGAAGACATAGATTGACTTTATAGTAGCAGAGTGTTGTGAGCATCGGCTGCAACAATCCTGAGCAGGGACAGAAAGCAGAGAAATGGATAGTTTATCAGAGAGAAAAAAAGACAGAAAAAAACAACAAGAAATAATAATAACAACTGATTAAGATGTATGTCTTTAAATTTGGGAATGTCAGAAACACTGAGAACCTTCACAGACAGAAACATATCAGCTCAGCATATCGCCAGTCAGCCCGGGCCTCACACGGGGCACCATTTACATCAGTATTCTAAATTCTAACTATATTCAAAGTAAAACTTAGTATGTTTACATGCCTATTTAAAGGAGCAATGTGCAAAAATTACCTTACTATATGATCATACATTAAGGAAATGTTGAAGTGCTGGACTAGTTCCGTTATAGCTGATTCTACCCGACTTAAAAAGCCTATGCAGTTTTATAATAAGCTCCACTAACAATTATTTTTTTTAATTTGGACTGCAGTACACATTTTAAATGCTAAATGTCAGTTACATATTGCTCCTTTAAGTCTTTCTATGGTAACGAGAGAAAATCCACCCCCGACCGCATAATCTTGTGTGTGTTAGTTCGACTTTGAGAAAGCTGACTTGGTACTATTTCAGTCAGACTAACATATTTACATGGATTTTCAAAGTCCAGTTTTAGTCGGACTGATACAATAGATCTACTATTTCTAACTGCATGTGAACGTACTGAGTGTTAATTAAATTTTTGTTTAAATATACAACATAAATCTGGTTATTCATAGAAGTATAAATATCCAACAACAAAACTATTTTACTGCTCTTGTTAGAGTCCCTGAACGCTGTTATTCAAATGTTTAGTAAAGCACCATTTTTTTATTCATGTATGACATAAGAAAGATATGGGGATCAGACTTTTTCTCTCCGCAATATCAAAATCGGTAACAGCCTCTAAAATCCCCTATCGGTCAGGCCCTAATAAAAACCTCAAAATCCAATAAGGACATCTTAAAATGTGGGCACTGTAACAAAGTCTGCAGGCGTTAATGTAAGAAACGTAAAAATTAATCCTGACTGCATCTCTGTCCCTGAAACAAGACTTCTGTACAGGACGTTGTTAAAGCCATTCTCTGAAGCAGCGGTGTCAGCTCAACTTACTGACATTAGTTTTGTTTATTTTCATCTTTCTACTGATCGTTTTACTTAAAGGGCAAAAAAGAAAACTCAGCATCTCTCACTTCATTCATGACTGTAGAGAATGTGATCTGAACAGGTGAGAGGCGGCGACCTCATTCAAAGTTTTACTTCTTAATTCAGGATTTACAAGGTGTGGTCAAAGTAAGAGCCAAGACTTAAACTGTATTTCTTTCTCATACAAGGTCCAAATTAAATATAAAAGCTTAATATAATACAAACACTTGTACGACATTTTGAAGTATTTAAAAAAGTGAAACATCAAATTAGAATTTAAGTCACGGCCTATCAACAAAAGGAAATTGTTTTGTTTTCAACCTTCTTACATTTAAGTTAAAAATCAATTAGTCTTTTGTCTTGGATCATCGACCTAAGAATCCAAAAATTGGGATTTCTCAAATTGTATAGCAACTATTAAACTGCTGAAAAATTCTGAAAGAGTGGCGGCCATTTTGGTCACTTCTGCGAACTAATATATAAGAAAGAAGAAACTTAGGGCCACTGACTGCAGAGGCTGCTGTGTTAGGAGTCCATCAGTGTTTACTATTTAATTCATACACATTCATACTCTGCCGACGAAGAAGCAGCGGGATCAACTTGCGGTTAAATGTCATCCCTAAGGACACATCGACATGTAGCTGCAGGAGCTGGGCATTGACGACGTTACCACTGACGGCCACCCTTAATTGATGATAGCAACTATTGCACATATTTGAGGGTCTTTAGTCTTTATTCTAAAACAGTAAAAAAGGTAAAACCTCTTTAAGTATTAAATGTATTTAAGCTTCTTTCGACAAATGTTTGATTTATTTTGATCACACCTTGAGCTTAATAGAAAAAAAATAAATGAATGTGTTAAAAAGGCCGTTGGACACTTCAGTGTTAATTTACAGAAAATGATTCGTCATTGTGGCCTTGTGGTTCGATCACCTGAAGTCTTTACCCGTTTGTTAGTTTGGTCGCCTCTCCATTTGAATTAAGTTCCATTTCACGTAGAAATCAAATGTACTGTACATACTACTACTGCTTAACTATTCTGTTTCTACTCGTCATTACAAAGTAATTCTTGTGGGAATGTCGCTTTAGGTTTGTTTTTTTAAAACGTGTTGTATATGTGAATCATCGTTACCTGAGCCAGAAGCTCTCTCATCACTACGACGACGGTTCAGTTTCTGGACGTTTGGAGACTCGGCTGTTTGGAGAAAGAATCGAGGACTCGGAGAACTCGTCTGTTGGCCCGAGAGACGCACTTTGGTACGACTGTGGAAAAGATTTACAAAAATGAAAAATGGACAGAAAACCTGCAGACTATGTGTGAACGCTCAGCACCGTACCTTCTTCTACAATTCTTTTCTCTTGCTTCGTGTGTGTCCAGTCAAACTTGTTCGTCATTGGTGCCATTTTGTGCATTGTGTCACTTAAATTTGAGGGAAGATCTCGAACTCAGATCATCGTCACAGAGTTTTAATGTGTGTGTGAGTATGTATGTGTGTGTGTGTGTGTGTGTGTGAGTGTGTTGGAACGAATTAAAATGTTGCAATTACATTTATCGTCTTTTTATTTCTATGTGTAAACTAAAGAAATGCTAGGAGAAAACACACGAAAACCCGATATTACATTTCTGTTTTTTTGTCTCTATTAATCCTCACATTTCAAATAGTTCCCTCAAAAAGTCGATATAAAACTACATTTTTATTCCACAGAAAGTTTGAAGTTTTCTCCACTCACCTCTCTGGAAATGTGCTCATTTGGTTTGCATCATTGATCTGTTACACTAAAAATTGTATTCAAGGTGACAACGGCAGCAGAATTAAATGCAACTTTGTATCTGAAAATTAGACATTAGGAGACGGTTCAGTAGCTTTTTAAGCTAATGTGACGTCAGCATTACATATCAACAGGTGTTTTACATCTCTGAATGTGTCAGTTCAAAACTTTTAAGAACATTAACTTTTGATTACGTTAACAATTTAGCCCCAACATAATGATTGGAAAGTTTTACCGTCTGTCATTGACATAAAAAAAACTAGGAAGGTATTTGCTAGCTAGTTAGCTAGCTAACGCCAGTCACTTTCACAAGAGAGACTCAGTATTTCAGAACAGTGGCAGTCAAGAGCCCTCCGTTTAAATTACTACTAAACCGTTTAAGCTAACTCAAATGAGCTTGCTGCAGCAGCAGTTAGTATAACGTTAGCTAGCAAATTGACTGCTATGAAAACCTCTCTAATGTTTAGAATTTAGACTGCAGTACCCATTTTTAATACTAGGTGTCAGAGTTATATACTGCTCCTTTAATACCTTATTTAGATGTTAAAATAAAAACTGCAGCCCTGGATGTTTAAACATGTCTCTTTTTCAAATTTCTATGTTGCTTTAGAAAATCAGTAAATAAAAGAAACCTTACCAGATACCTGGAGCCAATATTCACATTTCTGATGGGATTAAATTGTCCGTGTTTGGGGTCAAAAAACTGAGTTTGTCTTCATGGAAACTTTCGGTAGCCTTCAGGATTAGTTTGTTTAAAAAGAAAAAACTCAGCAATGACTTGAACTTATTTCTGTAAATGTTTATTGCAGAATGAGCAGATTCATAATGAAAAAGGCACCATGAAAACTATACACATACAAATGCATTTCAGCAGTGACTTCTCGCTAACGTTTTTTTCTGATTGGCTCTAGAACTGTTTGAGTACGAGGACAGTTCACTAAATACAGAAAATGCTTCTCTCATTAACAAACATCTATTCAGCTTTTATTCATTTATATTAGTTCAGTGTTTCTCCACAAACTTTCTTCATATTTTCCCACGTTTTACATCCGAGACACTTTAAGTGCATAAGAGGAGAAAATAATACAATCAATGCCACAGAGGTTAAAGAATGTACTGGCTGATTTCTGTACATCTTATATCCAAGCATTTACATACATACATATATCTGTGGTGTAATGAACATTTCCTCCAGCTGGAGGATGATCTGGTGCTTCAGGCTGATCTGTGCAAACAGTCGTGGTGTTTTTAGTTTGTGCTCGTGTTAAAAAAATGTTTTTGTTTTTTTTGCTTAACCTTTGACTTCTAAGCAGCTTTTGATGGCTTTCAGCAAATAAAACGGAAAGAGTTTGCTGTGAATCGTGAAATTAAAGCAGATGTTGGAGTAATGGTAGAGGCAGTTTGCGGCCAGCATGTAAGGAGGAGGTTTGTCCACTTAGGGCTTCCGTAAGAAAATATATAACTTAAGGAAAAGATCTGTTAACATTAAGATTGCGTCTCCTCCTACAGGCTCACCTGACGTCAACTCATGAGGCTACCTGTATCTGTGGGCGGAGCTTAAATAAAACAGTCAGCATGTATAAAGCGACTACAATCGTTTCTTAAGTGTTTATACGAGGAGGAGAAGTTGGTACAATCAGAGGGTTAGCTTCTGTAAAGATGATTAATCAGCTGACGGCTTAAAAAAAAAAACAATAAACTGATTCTGAATCTTTTTCCACGTTTGATTCTTCACTCGCCTCCTGCAGAGGAACGTTTAGATTTTTATCATTTAATGTGCAAAATTGCCAAATCTGATAACGTCTTCCTGCCGCTAACTCTAAATCACATCATGTACATAAATTAGACTTTATTATTGTTTTTATAAGTTATTCTGCTTTTCAGGAAAAACATTTTGACTTAGGCCGCGTGTCCACCTGAGGTCATTTTTCTGAGCACCAGCATCTTTTTTAAAATTGTTTTCATATGAGTAGAGAGCGTTCACAAGGAAAGCAGCACCCAGCATCGTTTTTCTGAGCGCTCTTGTCTTTTTTGAGCGGCCTTTCCAAGTGCTTCGAGTTGAAAATCTTTCAACTTTCCAAAAGTGGCGCTATAGACGTCGACGGCGCTCTTTTCCAAATCTTTGATATTCCCGCCTACGGATCGTGTCTCTTACCCACATCTTCCTCGCTCCGTGACTGATCGTTACTTTTTACTAGACTTTTTTTTCAAATTTGAGATCGTTTATTTCCCGGAGCATTGTCTCGGTCATACAGCAGCTGTTGTTAACAGACTGTTGTCATGGAGACAGGACGGACGTGCAGCGATTTTTATTCTTAGCACACAAATGCTTCATGCTAACGCTCTAGAGCGCACAGTCAGCACTTTTCAAAAAACGCCAGGTGGACACGGGGCCTTTCTTTGCTTTTTCCGTCTTTTTATTCTATTAATTATATTATTTAAACTTTGATGTAACTTTAGAATGAAAGAAAAAGCTCTGCTATGAATATCATATTTCTATCCGCCATAAATCTGAATTGTACATTTATTTATATTTTTTTTTGTGAATTTCCTTCAAAATACTCAAGCCAACATTCGTTTTCTTTCGTTCTCTGTACACATTAACCATCGACCTGTCTGAGCGAGCTCCAGTTTGTGTCTCTTTTTATTCTTAATACATTCAAGTCAGAGGTGAAGATGATGATTAATGAGTGAGGAGCAGAGCGTCGATCTTAAATCTGAATATTTTGAATCGCAGTTGGACTTCATGGTTCTGAAACACGAGGCACAAACTGGAGCGGATAACCTTCTGACATTAATACTGAGAGGTTTGCTTTGGAAAATAATAAACTCCTCCAGGTAGAGAAGCACAAACGATCCCCAGAGAGTGTTCAGGTGAACTTCAGGCAAACATGGCAGAGTACTTCCTGTTTATCGGGACGGTTCCCACAGTCAGCCGTGTAGCTCTTTAAATGTTCCTACGGAGACGAGCTGAGGAGTTCCTGCCTGCGCCGCATGATCTCCACAAACTCGGCGTAGGTGGCCGCCGCCTGAGGATGAAGAGTGCGAGAAAAACAGCAGGCTGCGGTTTGAAAAAAAAAAAAAAAAGTAAAGGAAGAAGAGAGAGAGAGAGAGAGAGAGAGAGAGAGCTCAGTGGGTGCTGCCTTCATCAAAAGACTCCACCCCTGAATCAACGGTGCTGGCTGCCAGTTTCTCCTGCCGCCTCCTCATGATCTCCTGGAGCTCAGAGCCTGAACTCCTCTGGAGACGGCGAGGCACGGACGAAGATAGACGGAGGTGAAGAGAAGGATCCAGAGCGGTGGGGGAAGGGGAGGAGAAGCAGAGACAAACAGCACATTAGAGCCTGAAACAAAAACCTCAGACTGAAATCTTCACGTCTTTCTGCTTCTGAAGCGACTGAGCAGCTTCGGCAAATATCTACTAAGCGTCTCAGCTGACACGTTTCTCCTGAAAAATCTGAAGATTTTTAAAGGAAGTTTCTCTTCAGAGTGAAGCGGCTCCAGCTGATCAGAGTCCGTTCAATCTGAGCCGGAGGATCAAACCCCAGAAAGCTTGTTTTTAGTGACGGTGTAGGTTCCAGATGTGATCGGGGACGTGACCACCCGAGCAGATCCGGTACCTACACCGGCTGCTGTGAGCTGCAAAGAGCATGACGACGTCTACAGTGAGAGTCAGAGGGCATGCTGGGAAACTGAGTTCTTCTAGAGCTTTTTAAACCTGGTCGCATAAAGAGCAAGATGTGTCATTGGCTGAAGACGGGGAAAGTATGGAGGACAAAGAAAGACAAAAATAACAAATTTAAATCTGTAGTCTTAACTAAGACTTTTTGGCTTTTTTGTCCCTTCAGGCTCTCCGTAGATACTCGTCCTCAGTGTCTCCCTGTAGTCTCAGTGATGTTAAAGAAGAACACTGCTGCATCTTTGAATGTCTCATTTCACTTTAACAAACTCTCAGACAGCTCAGCTGACGAGTCCAAAATCACATCCAGCTCATGACATCACACATTGACCTTTGCTACCGTTCCTTTAACCTGTTTGACGTCAGTTTGGGATCCCTAACCACTTCCTGTTTCTGTGCTTAACTTCTTGTCCTAACCTTCACTCGACAGGAAGCGCCTTATTTTATTTCAAAATAAAAGCATGGTTGAATTCAAACAGCAAGTAAAGAACTCTTAGCTTAAGAGAGTACAAAAAATTCAAAATAAAAGCCTCACCGTTTTTATTTTATGCATGCTAAATAATGGAATTTCAAACATGTGATTAATCACGATTAATTTTTGAAAGTGAGCGATTAATCAGGATTACAAATATTAATCGTTTGACAGCTCTAGTGTTTATATGAAATCAATCACTTCCTGTCCTTGTTGGAAACGTTTTGTTTACTTTTTGGGACTCTTTTTGCATCTTTGTGCAATGAAGGTAAGAGGTTTATTTCTTTTTGGTATATTTTCTGTCAAAGATCCCCGTGTGAGTTTTATCCACAAACACACCTGTCGTTTATACTTACCAACATTTCATCAACAATCGTTTATCCTTAAAAAAAAATAGAAATTGTGAAAATGAAAGTTTCTTTGAAAGGGACAGCTTCGGCCTTTTTCACAAATATCTCTGTGGGAACGTCTCCACATTTGGTGTGGACGTTCACTGATGTTTCTTTCTTTCCACTGAGCTCCGTTTTTATCAATACCAGCGTCAGTTTTTGAAATGTACACACTTAAACACACCTGTAGTAAAGGCGGAAACTAAATAAATGAAAGAAAAATCCAAAAAAAGGTACAGTATGTATTTAATAGCCTTTCATTTTTAAATTGAAGAGAATAACGGTCAAAATGTGTCATTTCTGCCTTTTAAAGAGTGTCATCTTATCATAAAGGTAGCTCATGGATTTTTTAGTTCACCATGTCACCCCAACAGGAAACCAGTGGAACCAGCCACCCTGTAGACTGGGGGCCTCTTGGTGTGGTTTTCATATTTTAATAAACAGTAAGATGTTTTTGATAATCCAACAAAGGACATGAAACTACAAAAACAAAATCCAGGTTCTAAAAAAGTTTTGTTTTTCCCTTCAATAACTTAAATAAACTGAACAAATGGTGCAATTGGTGACAGCTAATAAAAGCTAAGATAGCACACAGAACACAGGCGACTCCTCAGGTCTCATTCCAGCCAAAGGTCTACTTCCTGGTGTCTACGGGTCGGGCGGGGTCAGAGGTCAACAAGTAAAGGTGAAGGGGTGGGGTCAGGTAGTTTAAGGGGGGACTGACTGTTCGGCCACAGCAGGATGACAAATATCAGCGCTACCTTAAAATGCTGCTACACATAAAACGTCCGCAGCTTCGTTCTGACGGCCAGAGGGAAGAATTCATCAGAGTTTGTTTGAATAATAAATTTACTGAGAGGTGGAGAGAAGACTTTGTTTAACAAATCCCAAGTCTCGTTTTAACCCAGATTTGGTCTCAAGTCAAAACCTCCAAGGATGGAACCAATGAATCAAAAAACAAACATACAAGTTCCAGTTCAAAATGTGAGTATAGTCTCGATTAAAATCCAACATGTCAGAATCAAGGTAAAAAAAAAAAAAATCACAGGTCAGGAAAAGGTAAGTCCCTGAATCTGAATGTTCCACTTTCTATAACTTTGACTGTTTCATTTTAAATCTGGCTGACAGATCGAAGCCGAGCAGGACGACATTTATCTGAGAACACGATACCTGAACGACTGTGGTAACAGATTCAGAAGATCAAAGAAGCGTCAGAAGAAAACCTGCAGGTGGAGATAGACACCACACACCAGACCTTGCCAGAGTTTGGTGACAGAAAGCTTAAAGACAGAAAAGACTAAAAGAGGGACTAAAAAAAAAAAAAAAAAGACCTGCAGCAGACGGGAACCAGATACACAAGACCGGACCTCTGAGCCGGGGAAACGAGACACTCCTTCTTTCTGACTTATAGACAAACTCCTGAACACGGTCTTAATTATACAAATACTTGTTCAACATGTAAATACCTTAATGAATTTGTGCAACTAAGATGGTGCTGTCTCTCTGTCTGATAAAAATAACAGACTGTTAAGTCCTAAAGCTGAGCTCCAGACAACTCAGACATCACAAACTATCATAAAAATAAAAGAATAACTGTGTTGTTTTCTAACCAAATGCTTAAAATCCATCATTTCTTACTTTTTTTTTTTTTTATAGAATCCGATAATGATGTTTAGATACCTACGTCCCGCTTATAAAGCCTCTTTCAGAATAAAGGCATTTCTCAAACGTGATGTCATGACATTATTCTTGTACCTATTCTTGATATCTTACTTACATTCCTATTCTATTTGATTTATATCTTTATTTCTATAGTTCTCCTGCTATATTGTATATTTTGGAACAACTGTAACGATCGAATTTCCCTCTGGGATTAATAAAGTATTTCTGATCCTGATTAACTCAATAGAAGCTGTTTTGTTTGTCAGTGACATCACGTTTGACCTTTGACCCACCTCCAGCGCCGCCTTCTGGACGGTGACCTGGCTGAAAACTCGAGCTCCGTCGTCGGGACAGACCGTCCTCAGCTCCTCTTTGTTGAGAGAAAACAGCTGAGCTCCGGTCAGGACGCCCAGGCTGGTGATGGTGCTGAAGACAAAAACATGTTTTTTTTAATTCATTTTACTTCTATTGGGCGAATATTTTGCGCTTTTTTTCACCCCCCGATGTTCAACAACTCAAACTCACACTGGACTGAAGCCTTTGGCCTCTAGCCACGCCTTCACGTGCTCAGGTGAGGAGTCGTAGGTGATGCTGACGACCGGCATGCTGCCGCTGCGAGAAGGAACCGGAAACTTCTTCTGAGTGCTGCGACCCAACGTCAGCCTGTGCATGAGCTCGTCCTGAACCTCCTCCATGTTGGATTTCCTGCCTGCAGGGGGCGATAAGGAGCAAACTGTAAATCACAGATTCATGAAGCAGAGCGACTGTTGGTCCCATCAGTTTCTGGATTTGTTTTGTTGATTTTAGATATAAACCATGAAGTATCAAGAGTGAAAACCTGGTGTGGAAATGTGAAAATGTTTGAAGAAAATTCAGTTTATATTTTCTTATTTTATCCTCAAAGATTTTATTGCAACAGATTTACTGACTTCTGATGAAAGCTTGCTTCAGGGTTCAGGGGTTAGTTTTTGAATTTTAAACTGATTTGATTAGAAGATGTTGTTGATCACAGATTTCCCTCTCAGGATCGTTTTGGGACTCACGGTTGGCGTTTGCAGGTCTCTGTTTGTTGTTCTCTCTCATGGCGACGCTTCCGTTGTCGCTGGATGCGTTGCTGTTCTGTCGGCTGACCGTGCTGCTGCTGGCCGCCATCTTCGGGGGCTCGACGGCCGGAGGAGGCAGTGGCGGCGTGGGGAGCCTGGCGAGGGCTGGGGCCGGGGGAGGCGGCGTAGGAGCCGGAGGCATCGGAGTCACAACCGGTTTACTTGGGACGAGGTCGGTCCTGGACGTCTGCTTCTGACAGAGGACAGTTTGATTTAACAGATTTGATTTGTTTGGTGATCTGCACCGGGACACAGTATGATGGTATTTTATATTTTGTGTTTTTACCTCGTTCAACTCTCCCAGTAATTGCTGACGACGTGAAATGAAACAAATGAAAACATAAAACATGGCGATGATGAGACGTTGAATTAAAATGTTTTAACACGGCACTGCAAACTCACTGCAGGGAAATCTACAAACACACTGACGCTTCTGTAAAAAAGTGTAGTGAGGAACTGTAAATAAACTATAAACATAGCTTATCCTCTAGAAAACTATTTAAAGGAACAGTCTGACCTTGAGCCAAAACAATCCAGATAGCGTGTTAGCTTAGCATCAGAAACAGCTAGAAAAATGTCCAATATAATATATTATGTTAAAAAGATTGAAGTTTCTTTTGGCATGCTACACAGCTATTAGTAGCAATCCATTAAATCTAGCTAGCATGTCAGATACTATCTTAGCCCTTTGTAGTTAACCGCTGCTATGCAAGCAAAGGCTTAGCCTAGCCTAGCCTAGCCTAGCGTAGCTAAAAACAGAGAAAGAGATCTATCATTGAAAGTTTGTAGAAAAAATGAAGTACTTTATTTTGAAGCAGTTAGCATCCGTTGACAAATAAAGACATCAAAATAATAAAAAATGTGAGACTGTTCCTTTAAAAGAAAAACACAGCAAATCACACGGGAGTCTGAAAAAAAAAATAAAAAAACCTACAGCAGAAAGTTCTGGAAACTAAAAACAGTCTCAGCGTACCTTAAACAACTCAAACTCTTTCTTTGGCATCATGAGCTTCAAAATAAAAGCATGAATGAAGATGAGACATGAGGAGGTGATTTAAGATGAAAGACTCGCTCAGGAGCAGCCTCTCAGGTGTGTTACCTGGATGGATTCTGTGTTACCTGTATGGTGTGGCTGTATATTGGCTCTCCTCTGCCGGTGATGTCGACGGCTTTGGTGATCTCCAGGATGTTGTTTGGCACATAGCCCGACGCCCCGCAGCCATTACGAACCTTCCACCACTGCTTCCTGTCGTCCACAACCTGCCAGACAAGGTTCAGGGTTTAGACAACAAACTTCAGTCTCAAGTTAAGAATGTCATGTTATGCATGTCTTTCACATTTATTCCTGACTGAATACAAACATTTGGAAAACATTTTATTTAACTCTTTCATGTTCATCAAAATCTTCAAAGTTTACCTCGACGACCTCGTCTTTGATCACCGACAGCTCCGTGTTGTTTCTCGCCACAAAGTCGTATTTCGATTTGGCAAACAGAGTTTGTTGGCTTCGACTGTCGGCGTCAAAACTCCTGAAATATAATCAAGGATCAGAACATCAGTCAATCACACACACGAGAACAAACACACACAAATCTGTTAACTATGAAAGCAGACTATGGCGGTTTGGGAGCCGTTTGAAGCCATGGAGAAGTGTCCCAACTTCAGATCGAAAATCAAGAGCAATAAATAGAAATTAAAGATTTTGAATCCAAGAAATTAGATCAGATTTTAGAAGTGAAAAAAAAGACCAATGAAGAAGAGAGAAGTTCAGCCCGTGTCAGGAGAGATGAAAGAATCAGATTTAGAAAAAGAAACCGTTTGAAGTTAAACCAGGTAAGACAGGAGGAATAATATGTGACTTATCCATAAATTAAATCATCAATAACCTGAATAAATAAATACAACTAATTCAACTTTAATTCATTATTTACTCATCGAGAAAATTATGCTCCCAATATGCGGGTCTGCTCGTGGTAGCTACGGTCTCTAAATGTACTATGGGAGGTAGAGCCTTCAGTTTTCAGGCCTGCTCGTGGTACCTACAGTCTCTAAATGTACTATGGGAGGTAGAGCCTTCAGTTTTCAGACCTGCTCGTGGTACCTACAGTCTCTAAATGTACTATGGGAGGTAGAGCCTTCAGTCATCAGGCCTGCTCGTGGTACCTACGGTCTCTAAATGTACTATGGGAGGTAGAGCCTTCAGTTTTCAGGCCTGCTCGTGGTACCTACAGTCTCTAAATGTACTATGGGAGGTAGAGCCTTCAGTTTTCAGGCCTGCTCGTGGTACCTACAGTCTCTAAATGTACTATGGGAGGTAGAGCCTTCAGTTATCAGACCTGCTCGTGGTACCTACAGTCTCTAAATGTACTATGGGAGGTAGAGCCTTCAGTTTTCAGGCCTGCTCGTGGTACCTACAGTCTCTAAATGTACTATGGGAGGTAGAGCCTTCAGTTTTCAGGCCTGCTCGTGGTACCTACAGTCTCTAAATGTACTATGGGAGGAAGAGCCTTCAGTTATTAGGCTCCTCCCCTTTGGAATCATCGACCAGTCAGGGTCCAGGAGACAGACACCCTCTGTACTTTGAAGAACAGACTTTTGATAATGTTATAGTTAGAGCTGGAGCAAGCTTGGACCAGCTCCTAGCTATGCTGCTATAGGCTTAGACTGACGGGGGAACTGGCACCTTGAGCTCCTCTCTCTCTCTTCATGAACTATGTAAGCACATTGTTTCTGGGAGCTCCTGACCTCTCTGTCTAGGTTCCTCTGGATCCTTGGTGGGGACAGCCGGCTGCTAGGACTCATTCCTTCTTTTCTTTATATTACTTTATTTATTTATCAACATTTGATGCATTTATTGATGAATATGTCACATTTGAGGTGATTGGTTGGTAAAGTTCAGGTGTGGGATCAATTCTCCAGGGCGTCATGTGACCTCAGGTTTACCCGTCTACATGGCGGCTGACGGCGTGTTTAAAAGCAGCCACGGCGGCGTCCTGATCCAGCATCTGTAAACGTTTGTACGAGGAGTTAAAGGCATACCCGTCTGCAGGAGGGAAGGTCTGCACGACGGTCTGCTGCACGGAGACAAAGACACAGAGTCACAGACATGTTGTTGTTTTTATGAATAATGAGGACGTGTGTGTGACGGTTCAGATCAGACCTCCTGGTTCAGTCGGGCCCTTAGCTCCTCGTGTCTCATGATCTCGGCGTTGGCGAGACTCTCCGCGAGCTGGTTCAGCTCCTCTCTGGACGGAGCCACTGCCACCATCGCCGGCAGCACCGGAGGCTCCCAGCCATCCCGAAACCTCAGCACACAGGGGGGGAAGTAGTGATCCTTTGGCCACTCCAACCTGCAGAGATTAATGTATGAAGTATAACCCAGTATGTCCTCCTAACTTTAGATTCTGGTCCTGACTGCTCTGGATTTGTTTGGACCAGAGAAAAGCAACCCCCATACGGCAGAAACGTGCTCAAACTAGGATCAATATTGGAGATGCTTTTGAAAAATGGAGAGAGGTTAGAACACAGAAAGGTTTACAGACCCATGCAGAGCTGGATAAACACCACATGGTGATCTGCGCACAGTGAAATGCAAACTTGTATCTGGTAAATATTTGTGGTAGAATCAGCAGATTCTCTGCAGCACATGACTTTATTTTGTCGTATTTTGTTTATGTTCTATCTCACCTGCACTTGGTCCAGCCGTCTCCCAGGGCGACCCACAGGTGTCTCTCCTCTGCCGTCCCCGAGCCGTGCAAGAAGTCGATGGCCTCCCGGGTGAGCAGAGGAACCACGATGCTCCGAGCTAGATCCACGCTGCCGGACGTCTGCACCACCTGCAGGCGGCGACAGGGAGGAAAAGGTGAGGGGGTCGGACCGCAGCACACTCTGAGGAGGTAATATTTCTGAATCAGGATAGTTCTCAGACTGACCATCTTGAGAGGAGTGAACAGGAAGTGAAGCAGATCGTCGGCGCTCGGGTTCTGGATGTGATCCTTCAGTTTCCCCTGCAGGTTGTAAAATGTTCATATACAGTTAGAATGTGTATAAATTAAATGTTTATTCATGTAATCAGGGGCTGCAGATGATGAGGATGAGGAGGCTCGTACCAGCTGGTTGAAGGCGTGTTTGAACTTCTGCAGACAGTCGACAAACTCGTCCTCACCGGGAGGCTGCGAGCGCAGAGTCAGGACGCCCTCTGGTGGACAAACATCAGAAAAATATCCTCAGACTGCAATGAAACCTCTTTTCTATTTCATCTCATTTTAAGATAAGTCTGACACTTTTCTCTATTGCTGTTGCAGCAAAGGACCGAGGTCAGATTCAAACCCACGGCCACTGCAACAAGGACTACAGCCTCTGTACATGGATCGTGCAACCTAAACCGCTAGGCCATCTGCCATGTTTATATATTTGATATGTTGATAAGTTGCAAGAATTGAGAAAAATGAAATTAAAGTTAAATCAAAGTCCAGGAAGCAAGCGGTCAGCAGATGTCACTCAGGTGTCGGGTGTCTCACCTCCCGGTCCTCTCTTCTTCCCCTTCTTGGTCTTCTTCCTCTTGGCAAGCGCCGTAAACGCCTCAGCGGCTTTCTGAAGTTTGGTGACGAAGAACTCGATGTCGTCCAGGAGGTGGTTCAGGATTTGCTGCCAAATCAAAGTCAGATATCGAGCATGTTTAAAAGTTTTTTTTTTATTATTGGTTTGAGTATCGTCTTAAACGATTCTGAACGGATCGACTTGACTTCAATGATTAAACGTGAACAAACAGATCAGAGGTCAGTTTTTTCCCACGGCGCTCACATCTGAACGTCTTCGTTATGTAACAGGATTTTCCCTGAAAGCTCTCTCCGTCTCTGATTACATCCAAATAAAATTCTTCAATCAGCTTACATCTCGTTTCTATTGTCCCGTGAACTGGAGTGACCCCAGATTTAAACTCCACCAGCTGCTCTCAGATCAGTTCTAAAACATGAGAGGATCAGACTTGTTTGTTTGTTTGTGACTGAACTCACCACGTCTCGGTCCACTCGGGCCGCCGTCATCTCCACCGGACTGTCCTCCAAACACACCTGTCTCTGCTTCTCATCTGCAGACACAACACACAGAACGATAACAGAATCTGTGATGTCACATAAAGTTTAAAGGTGGAGTCAGTAGCTTTTTCCTAAATCATGAAATATAAACTTCTCCTAAAGCAAAGCTGCTCCGAGGTCCCTTCTGGGCCTCCGTACATGTGTGGTGCCGACTGTGTCTGCAGAGACCCTGTCCTGGATTTTACTGTTCTGGTTTGTTTTGGTTGATTTCCTTTAATGTTGTGAAACTTAAATATTCCCACAATCCTCTAAGATGTGAAATCACTCACAGTCTTGCTGCTCATTGGTCCAGGCTGACCATGCAGCCGCTCGACTCTTTACATCCAGCTGGTTGGACGTCACCGGAGGCTCGGGGGCGGGAGCGGCCGGTGGAGGAGGGATGATCCCGTCACTCTTTAAAATCATCCTGTAAACAGACAGAGAAGTGAGCCAATCAGCTGTCAGGATGATGCCACAGCCTCCAGGTGTGATTGATGATTGGTTCTTACTTTAGTGCTTCTGGTCTCTTCTTCACTTTGCCTCCTTTGGCATCGATCATGGCACTTTCTACATCGGCGTGGATCAGATTCGCCTGAAAGAAACAACAAACACATCAGACAAAAAACACAGAATAAAACTGTTTTAAATTTAGTTTGTCAAAATGTACAAGAATTAAATCCATGAACATTTGCAGACAAACTCTGGCACATTGTCTAAATTGCCTGATTCAGGAGTTTGGATGTAACAGAAACTAAATTTAACAGAGGTTAAAGGTATTGTTCAATGATTTCAGGTGTACCACAGGGCTCTATTCTTAGCCCATTAACGTTTACATTATATCAATACTTTTTTTTACAAACTTCATCAACATTCATACAGGGATCAATCAGAGCTGGTCTACCTTGATGTCATCACACTGGAACAGGTGGAGGTCCGGTTTGGTCTGACCCGAGTCTTTACACACCAGAGCCAAGATGGAGTCGAAGCTGCAGGCGTTCATCACGGCCTGGCAGTGCTGGATCGTCCCGATGGGGAAATTCTCCAACTCGTTCTGAAAAAACGAGTTTATATTTTTTAAAAAACATCCTGAGGAGGAAGCTTTGGGTTTACTTGGTGTTGTATGAATGTAAGAGCGGCTGATAAATCTGACAAAGGAATGTGATTAGTGGAGGCGAAGTTCAAATTTTTGACACATTTGTTGTCTGATTTTCCAAAACAGATTCCAATATTTTGATTCTGTGTAAAAATGTCAGATTACAGAACGGATCTTCATACATTTATATTTTTGGATAAAGAATACGAAGACAAAGAAGAATCAGACCTTGGTCTCCAGGTCGATGAGGCTGACCGTCTTCTCCTCCACCTGCAGCAACATCTCCTGAGTCCAAACTTTCCCTTTAGCGTCCAGCAGGCGGAGACGTCGGATCCCGTCGTCCACCGTGATCATCCCGTCTTTGCGGTCCAAAACAAACGTGGTCAGGTGCTAAATGTCACACGGGAGATAATTCAGATCAACATAAACACACAACACACTCAGTGTTTGTTGTAACATCAGTTTATTTATCTTTAGAGTCCTCTGCTCTCTGACTGAGATCAGGTCCAGAAACATCCTGAAGGTTTCTCACCTCGACATGATACTGCGACGTGTCCGTCAGGCTGTTGATGCTGGTTTTGGTGAAATGTTTTCTTTGTTCTGAAGGAAACAGAAGAACAGAAAAATCAACTTCATATATAAACGACGTGAAATGGAACTGGAATATTTCGACACTTCATCCAACCAGGAAGTCGTATTCTGTCAATCTGGAGCATCTTGTTTAACTTTTGAATCAAGAATCTGCTGACAATTATTCATTCTGTCCTTTTTTAATCAGAAATAATTTCTTAACATGCTTCTAAATACGCTTTCTTTCAGGAAACATTAAGTAATAGTGCAACATTTTTCAGACTTTCAGGGAAATAACTTGATATCAGAACCAAACACAAAAACTTCCTGGGAGGAGAGAAAACCATAATCAGCAGATTTTCTTCACACTGAGAGAGGAGATTCAGAGGGTGGAATTATACAAAAAACACACTCACAGAAAACAGAAAAGATGAACTGAAGTTTAACAGAAAGTTATTTTGTTAAACTTTAATTCCAGTTTCCATTAAAAAAAAATATGGATTTCAAAGTCCAACTGAAACAACAAAATTATTTTTGTTTCTGCAGTTCAGTCGGTAAAAATGATTTTGGGTGAAATCCTCTTGTAGAAATGATCAGAGTAAAGTCACCTAATGTCTGATTTAATGTTCTAGATGGAGTAAGGTGGAAAACCAAACGAGAAACATTTGACTAACACTGAGGCAGTGATGTTCACCGCTGTTTCTGTGGAAACTTCACTAAAAGGACAGAAATAAGAGCCAAACACACTCAGAATCCACTCGTCTCACTTTGACTTTTCTTTTTATGTTTGGCAGACGAGCGCAGGAAATAAATTTCATCTGATCCTGTTCATGTGGACAAAAAAAATAAACACATCAAATACGATTCAAATGAAATGAGAAAGGTTCCCTCTCCTTCCTCTCACAGATGGATCTCCTCACATCTCTCTGCATCCATCAACAGGAACACACTCACACCAAGCTGACGGGCTCGTCTCCGATTGGTCCAGAGGGATGACAGTCAGCCTCTCACACCCCATTGGCTGCTCTGAGTGTGAATCCTGTTACTGATGACCTGTTAGCTCGGATCAGTGCCAGGATTTCTCTGATGGCGTTCTGTCTCCACTGAGTGACAGTTTCACTGAATCTAACAAGTCTCACTAAAAGATTTCACTTTAATCTGATGATCCTAAACAAACTGAAAGGATCCTGAAAAAACGACATCATGATGAGGAGTTTGGTTTGACTCACCATAGAGAGCTTTGGCACTGGACTTGGCTTTATTGTTGGAGGGCTCAGGAGACTGAGAGCCATGGCCACTGAGAGAGAGAGAGGGAGAGAGAGAGGGCGAGAGAGAGAGGGGGGCGAGAGAGAGGAGAGAGAGAGGATGAGAGAGAGAGAGGGGGGCGAGAAAGCGGGAGAGAGGGGGGCGAGAGAGCGGGAGAGAGAGAGAGGGCGAGAGAGAGAGGTGGGCGAGAGAGCGGGAGAGAGAGAGAGGATGAGAGAGAGAGAGGGGGGCGAGAAAGCGGGAGAGAGAGAAAGGGGGGCGAGAGAGAGAGCGAGAGAGGGGGGCGAGAGAGAGAGAGGGAGAGAGAGAGAGAGAGGGAGAGAGGGGGCGAGAGAGAGAGAGGGAGAGAGAGAGGGAGAGAGAGAGAGAGGGAGAGAGAGAGAGAGAGAGTCAGTACGTCATAATAAACCGATATCAGGTCAGTTTTTTTTTCTCTCTAATTCATGTTTCTGCTGTGCCTTCTGATTGGCTGATACCTCAGACATGTTTCAGTGCATGTAACCACGGCGACAGCCCTGATGCTATATGCACCAGGGGTCTTAAAGACTCTTCATTCTGTCCTGTGTATAAACCTCGTGCTGAATCTGACCTCAGACCAGCGTCACAGTCTGAACCTGTGAGGAGCGTGCGTGTGGCGTGCGTGTGGCGGCGGGGACTCGATGTTTGTGTGAGGTGACAGCAGGCGACGAGCACAACGACGTCTGCTCAGATCGAGTGTCCCTTCTGAAACGGGATATTTTCACACATTCACACTTTTTATTCTGACGGATCAATAATTAACACGAGTGATTCACAGCGACGACGGAGTGAACAGCAGGACGACCACGGAGGATCAGATCAGGCTGTAAATACACACAGCTCACCAGCGGTATTTAAAACCACAGAAGAAGAAACATAGATGAGACATCAGTGAAACACAGATCACATATTTGTCGGTCTCTGTGATCTGGTTCACTGACCTCGTTCATCTGCAGCCTGCAGCCACCTTAACTTTGGGAAATTAGCACGGCCGATTAAATAAGATGATCGATGAGGCTGAGAGGGGCGGAGCTTAGGTTTCACTGTGTCACACTGTGAGACTCTGCACACACACAACATGCTGATTACTGTCTCACAATTACTCCATTTTAAATAAATTATTCTTCTCAACGGTGTTAAACTCGCAGCTCTGAAGGTCAACAGCAAAAGACGTTTCACTTAAAGATCCAATCAGTGGATCAGTTTAAGACCCCCCACACGGCCGTTTTGGACGCCCCTCGGTTTGTCAGATATGAGAGCAGTTATCAGGTCAACAGGTGTTGCAGCGATGGAAGCGGTCAAGAGAAGTGGTTCAGATAGAAGTGATTGTACCCGACCTAAAAAGCCTCTGCATGTTTCTAATAAGCTCCACGAGCAGAAACGTGCTCAAACTAGGATCAATATTGGAGATGCTTTTGAAAAATGGAGAGAGGTTAGAACACAGAAAGGTTTACAGACCCATGCAGAGCTGGATAAACACTGAAGCTTCAGAGTCCACCACATGGTGACCTGAGTGAGCATCCACTCTAGAGAGGAGGGGGGGGAGACAGCTCTCTATGATGTTTAGAATTTAGACTGCAGTACCCATTTTAAACACTAGGAGTCAGAGCTACATATTACAGGTGATGAAACACTGACTTGATCTGTGAGCTGGAGGAGCTGAAGATGCCCGAGGCGAGAGCTGGAGGTTCATATCCGTTCATCCTGCTTCACAGTGGACGCTCCGCTGCAAAAAAAACACACAGAGAGACAAACACAGTTATTATTATTTATATACTAGAATATTCTGAAGTCACGTTTAATCTTGTTCGTTTCTGTGAGATCTCGTTAGTGTGGACTCTCCCCTGTGGAGTCTTTTCTACAGACAGCAGGTGTGAGGTCTCACGGTCTGACTGGGCGCCGTGGGGTGTGCGTTGGTTTGGAGGATTACGATGTTAAAAATAGGTTCAAACCGTCGTCACGTCTGTACTCTCCCACGACTTTAAAAATCAAGATTTGAGAGTTGGAGAAACATGCAAAGACTCTCTTTATTAAACTGGGACTGATTTAAACCCAGTGTGGGATCGGGGACCAGGAGCAGCTTCATGAGAACGTCTCATCAGGTCAAACACCGACTTTTTGAGTCTGCAGGGACTTTAAACAGGAACGAAGGTCACCCCCCCCCCGTCCCCCCCCTCGTCGTCTCATTAACACATCATTAAAACCTTCCTGCAGTAAAATGTCACATCGGGCTGAACTTAAAAGGAGCTGCACACAAAGAGTCCTCCGGGGTGATTTATGAGCATGCTCAGTGCGTCTCCTGTATGTACAGTGCAGACACGTGTGATTACTTTTCCCAGGAGGACGACACAGACTCCATTTTGGACTCTGTATCCATGGCAACGACAGACTGAAAACCTGTGAGGCGGCGCTCAGGGAGAGAAGAGCTCAGGCTGAGGGACGCTTCAACATGAAATGAAATATATCACAGAGGAAACAGGAAGTGGTCAGAGATGATTAAATATTGGGATTCTTTTTTTTTTTTCTTTCCATGGATTTATTGTTCAAACTCTTAATCAGTCTGTAAACATTTACTCGACCTTTGAGTTTGTTTGAGATATTTTCACAATAAAAAGGATTATCTCGGGTAAACCGGAGCAAAACAACAAACACAGGAAAGAGAAAACAGAGAGATATGAAGCTCTGCAGGTCAGGGGTCGTTAAACATTTATGGATCGATTGACAGAAAATATGAAGGAAGTAGATCCAGAATGGATTTCTGAATCGAATCGAGAGACACCCAGATTCCCAGCTGAGAGTTTTTAATAATTAAAAGAAACATTGTGATCATTAAAGATTAGTTGCTGCAGGTTAGTTCATGTTTTTAACAAACCTGATGATTTGTTTCATGTGAGTCTGCTTTCCTCGTCAGCGATTGGACCAGAGACCACAGATGATGTTTAATCAAACAGGTCAGAATAAAGTCATCTGTTAAACTCTAACTGATGTTCAAACACACTTTTAATGAGTCACCAAACAGGAAGTGCAGCGTCATAATGACAACCAGCTCAATGAATAATCCCATAAAGATAAAAGTCTCTTGTGCCAGCAGGACGGACCGGGGCTGGATTATTAATCAACTTAAAAACTAAAGTTTAAACATGTTTGAAAGGCTTTAAGATATGTCTGGAGACAGTCAACACACAGAACATGAGGGACGTTGGCAGAAAAGACTTCTGCTTCAAAAACTGCTTGTTGTTTGTCAGACTTTGTTTTGTCAAGAATTTTTTAGCAAATCAGTAAAGTCGACTTTTCACCTCATTAACAGAACTTTCCTTTAAGTCTGCCTACTCATTATCAAAAAAAAAGATTGATTAACAGTTTAAGAGTAAAACTCATAATGGTCTCTTGTGATTGGCTGACAGCCCTGTGATGTATCAATAAACTTAAATTAAAATGTTTTCTGACTGAAGAGAAATCAGTTTGATCGTCATCAGACGTTCACAGACAAAGCTGAGAGTCCGAGTGTCACGGATTCAACTAAAGAGGATTTGTAAGGAGATTTACTTCCATGTGACACACACACACACACACACACACACACACACACACACACACACTATTTAAAAAAATAATCCGACATGAATATCAAAATTATGGTGATACTTTTATTTACACTAACAGATAATTTGTTTGATTAAATCTTTTTATTGTTTTTTTTATAATTCCACAAATTCAGTTAGAAAATCCTTCATGAGAGAAAATCCACTGAATTCTGAATTCGCACTGTCGTGACTTTTTAATCACAACTTTTCTTGTTTTAATTTCAGATTATTTGAAGGATTTCGAGTTCCTGTGAACGTTTATTTTTAGGCATTTTTCTACTTTTGTCAAAATAAATCAGAATTAAATTTAGTCTGATGTTAAAGTAAGACGTATTATATCTGACTTAAGTATCTGTTTTTCACTTCCTGTGGCACTCTTTGCCCTCCATACACTCAGCCTGTCACTGACAAGTTACAAACTTTGACGTAAAGTCTTTATATGTGATTTTTTGATCCAGCAGATGTCGCCCTTGAGCACCAGCATGAAACCAAAACAACTCGCGGTGCATTGTTGTGTTAGCATGCTAATGCTAGCGATCTTTATTATGCTGGTATCTTCACACTGCATGTAAATTTACCTGAAATGAGCGTGATCTAGAAACACAGTTAAGCAGTGAGTACAGTATGTTATTCTTCTTTTCTCTAGTCCCTCAATTAAACAACTTTTATACACGAGGGGAGGAGTCAGCCGGCCGTCCTGGCGATGTAAACAAAGTGAAGATAGGACTCTGAAAACTCTGAAAACATCACAGACAGTGGGACTCGGGTGTTACACCCATTGTAGACAGTCATGACTCACAGAGTTATTTCAGAGGATATACTTGATTTCTACATTTAAGTGTGAAAGTAGAAAGACTTTAAAGCAGAAACAGGTCAGTTATTTGGGGTTATGTGCTTTGGTATTCTGTGCAGCAGACCTCTGCTTTGATCCGGTTTAATGATCGTATAAATCATGTGATCTGTGTGATAATGAGAGCAGCTTCACTCCGAGGATTGATCGAGGCCACGCCGCTCTGCAGGGAGGACCGACTCATTTATCTCACTGTAACCTACATCCTGAACGCCACAGAGGCACGCCGCCCGTACTGTAAAAAACAGAGACACACTATAGTACAGGAGACTGTACTGTAAAACACTCAGAGGAAACTAGGTGACCGAGATAATCGACATAAATAAACCAATGTTTGACAAACAGAGAGCGAGCTAACAGTCCAGGTTCTCACAGACTCAGCTAGCTGCTAACTGTTGCTAACATGTAAATAATAAGTTCTAATGTGACTGGTTGTAAGTCTGATATTTACATGAACAACATCACCAAGAGGCTCCAACAGCACAAACACGGCCCAGAGGTTAAAGGTCAGGGACTGATTAGTTGAGGTGACACCTAGCAGCTCCCGCATGTCACTCAAAGAGGCCACGCCCCCTAATTCTACATCCCTTTAAGCCTTAATATAATGTAAACAGGTGACTGTATAATAATGCTGTTGTCATGGAGACAGAAATGAGCTCTAGAGACCCAAACTGTTTTTGTACCAGGACGTAAACAAATTAATTTTAACATGGAGCTTTTTCAGAATCATCAACTCTGGCTCCATTTAATCCGTCATCAGTGACTCTGTGATCGACTTTAATCCTGCAGCTGTGACACCAGATTCATCGCACATGATCACAGTTTGGCACTGAAACATTTCTCCTGATCCCTCACCGAGCTGTGAGAGGAGGTCTCGGAGGGACTCTCACTGCTCGTCTAACAAGATTAATCATAATCCAGAACAATCCTGAACCTGCTGAGTCGTCGTTTCTGCCGAGGGTCTCTGAACCTTTGGACCGACACCGTGATCAGAGGAAGAGTGAAGAGTTTAGATTTGTTTAGGCTTGTTTTCTCCTTTTTCACCGTAACAAACTTCTTCTGTGAACTGAAACAACAGAGACAATTATGATAGAAACTTGAAATAAAAGAGAGAGAGCGGGCGAGAAGCCAAACGTCAGAGAGTCTGACTCACATCGACAGAGAGAGAGAGAGAGAGAGAGAGAGAGAGAGAGAGAGAGAGAGAGAGAGAGAGAGAGAGAGAGAGAGAGAGGCTGTTAAACTAAAAATAACTCAGAGAGGTTTGGAGACGAGCCGAGCCGAGTCATGGAGAGGTCGACGTGAACTCTGACCACGGGACAGGACTGACTCTGATGTTTGGAAACCACAGGATCTTTGAGTGACCGAAAAGTTCACTTCAACAAGATATTTATGTCCGTTCACTTTCCAGAGCTTCAGTACTATTTATGAACTTTCATCATGATTATTGTGGAGCTCTTTGGACTCTGTAGGGAGGAGTGGTGATGAAGGGTTTTTGAATGTTTGTTTTGGGGAAAAAAAGGAAAATGTTGACGACATCTCACTGCAACGTGCTCCAATAAAATAAATTAAGAAAAAAAACAAGATATTGATGAGGATTCAACTGTTTCAGCTCCCATTGGATACGACAGTCGGTTTAGAGCTATCATAGTCTGTAGGGACCTGGGTTAGGATTTGGAGGGTCACCAGTTCAGGTCCTGGTGCGGACTAGGGCTGGACCAAAACTCATATCTCAATATTGTTTAGCTGAATGGCGATACTCGATATATATATCGATATGTATTTTATTAACAGTGAAAACACATGGAAAAATAAACTACCTGTTTGTGAATTTAAAAACTAATATTATAAAATAAAAATGTTCCTTAAATCCAATAAAAGAGAGAGAGAGGAGGAGCAGACAGTCAGTCATCATCAGTGAGATGAGAAGAAGGTGACCTGGCACCTCTGTAATGTTATTTTAATGCAACTTAAACTATATCCATATTAACGATGTTGTCTTACCCTATATGTTGTTTGAAAATATATCGATATATCTTAAAAACTTGAGATTCTCAGGAACAGATGCTGCCGTCTTCATGTTTTATTTAAAGTCCACTAACACACGCCTACTCTCCGTTTCCTGCAGCAGGTTTCACAATAAAAGCTTTGATGTGAGTAATATTTATAGAAACGGTTCAGATGAAACATTCAGAGCCGCTCTCGCTCTAAGACTCTAAATCTGGACTCTGTCCCTGTGAGGGGTCAGGACCCCCCCGGAGCAGGATCTGCTGAAACATCCTGACACACTTTATT